CTCAAGAATCTTCAATCTGAGAGCTTGGAAAATGCGGCAATTTTTTTTCCTTTCTGATGATGTGTGAAATCCATTTTTCTGGCGTTGAACTACTAAATTTTTTGCTAATGATTCTATTATCTATGTAGCCATAATCGTTTTTATAGAATTGAATATCATTTTTGCACTTCTCAGTTTTCGACAAACTGTATCGTATGGTAGAGCTATCAGATAATCAGAAGATGAGTTGTGACATTATCTACACTGTATTACGAGAGATTCCTAGCAGTTTCCTGTCAGCTGATATTGCCGCTATAATATATCTGTTGTCATTTACTTTTTCTCTTAAATTTATTAATGTAGTACTTATTCTATAAAGTATGCATGTTACATTGTATTCTCTGTGTAGAAGTTATAGTAAATTCATGCTATGCACACTATATTTTTTATAAAGAAATGTAACTAAGCTGATAGGCTGATGTGTCACTTTTACACTTAAAAGACTCCTTCTGACTGGTATGAATCAACTTTGAGTCAACTCTGACTCATCTGGATTTTTCAAATTGACATAGAAGTGAAAGGAAAGGGAGGAAGAAGACACACTTATTTGGCATTACTTGGTCATGAGATGTGTCAGGTGATTTTAAACGAGATTATGTAATTGAATTAGAATTTGTTTCATAAAAGGTAAGACTTAGAAAGTTTGCCTTGTTACAGTAGAGGTTAATTCCCTCTTTTGGTAGGTCATTTGAATATGACTTGTCTTTCATTCAGCGAATGTCTGCAGAAGACCGGTCTTTGTTTAGTTAGAAGACGTGTTGTCATGTGTACTTTGTGTTCATTTTTTTTTCGTTTTCTTGTCTTTATTTTAATTAAATGTGATGGGACTTTAACAATTTGCTGAATGTTTGGGTAATATGATGCAGTCTTTCGTTCGGACAGAATCTACTTATTGCCTTGAATCCTAGATTAAAGCATTGCATGTAAAGTATGAATCCATTTATATCGAAGCACTACATAAATGTTCCATTCCTAATATTTCTTGCAAAAGGCTTAACAGTTGCAAAGCATGCTCTTTGAGTTAGGCGTTTTGTGAACAGAACGAACTTGGACACCGCTCTATTTTTACTATTACTTCTGTCCTGTTATCAGTTGCAATAACCACTAGCTGCTTAAATTATAAATGCCATTCACATATATCAAATAAGAACATATAATGCTCAGTGCTCCCAATCTTATGCAAAATAAAGTTCAGATCCAGATTTCTCTTTATTGCACTTCAGTTTTATCTCATATGTTTATCTCCATATTATAGACAAAGAAATGGCGTGGTTTTACGTCATGCAGGCAGAAAAATCATTTATATAAATAACAATGGTTATTTGCAGATAAGTCATTGTCAAATGCGTTAGCGTCACTAAAGTCACTGTTTATAACCACTATTTTATATCTTCGTTAACACAGGAATATTAGGACCAGTGGTTCGTTTCCCATTCTTTATTAGTAATTTTCTCCACCGAAATAATTTCGTTCAATAACATTACTTTGGCACTATTTATTTCCCTGACAAATGGAAATTTTTGAACTGTTCTCACTACTTTTTTTAACGATATAATACTTAGAATTTTTTCGATCGTTTTTCAAATTTATACTTTGAGTCGTTTCCATCTTTAACAGTGGTCTTCATCTAAGATTTTTTTTTGCACTTCACTATATTATATTGTTCTTATTTTTTTTGTAATATTTTTTTCAGCAATAAGGGTGGTGGAACAGAATGGAGAAATTACCGGAGGAGATGCTAAGGGCTGTATTTGTTTATTTGTCAGGGTCGGATCGTTTACCGGTAGCCCTTACATGTCGTCGATGGTTTAATCTGTTAAAGGATTCTGTTCCGAGTATCAGTGTTGTACACATTTCTCTGGATATATCGGCTTGTTCAACTCGATTTCTAGAAGCGTCCCTATCAGAAGCAACTCTTTCGATATGCTTGTGTCCCGGACATGCGAAGAAGCATGCTGTTCTATTGCAACCACTGTTTCAAGCTGCTGGCAAAAAACTTACAACTTTAGCTGTTGAGGATAATCTTATACCAAAGGCTTGTTTTAAACTTGTTAAAAAATCTTATAAATATAGATCAAATCATGTTGATAAGAACGTAGGTGACCATTGGTTTGTCCGAAAGAGTTATAAGACATATCTTAAATCACCTGTTCGCTTGAATTGCTAATTTGTTAATATTTTTCACAGTCAAATTTCAGGAAGGGATGGAGACTCAAATTCCAGACGTGACAATTCACGCACTGCTCAACAATATGCCGAAGTGCTTACGGACATTGCATTTCCAGGGCGTTGATTTCTCGAAAGTTCGGCCATGGACGTTTGCGCTACTTGTAAAATTGAAATCCTTAGAAGAACTATATGTATTGGATGCTGTGTTCCCAACTGACAATGAATCATTGTTCGCCAGGATAATTTCCCCATCATTCGATACCTTGACCAGCATTTCTATTACTAATAATGCGCAGGTCAACCAGCTCTTTCTTCATAGTTTCAGCTAACTGTATTAGCTATAGAACCGATTTCTTCTGGGTAGAAAATTTCGGGAGTTCGCGTAAGATTTAGAGTGGAGGGACATAATTTAGATCTAATATTTTCTAAGTGAACATAAAAAGTTCCAGGGATTGAAAGATAGTTAAAATCCAAATAATTCTGTGGAATTGTCAACTTTTTTTATCCGCAAAAACGACTAGATGCAAAGTATTTCCACGTGACGTGATATATTTCCACGTCATGTGACTAAGTCAAATATCACAATTTTTTACAATACACTTCCGATAATGTCAGGATTTATTTAATTTATAAAAAGCATATGGAACAGCGAACAGTTGATCCATCCAAGATTGGAATTAATAGCATATAAAATCTTCTTAGTATATTTCACATTTTAGATCACAGATAAGTTCGTGTCTACTCTGGCACGGCGCTGTCCAGTCTTGCAAACCATAAATTTAAATGGATGTAAACGTATTACTTCTTTATCTGTGCTTGCTTTCGCTGAAAATGCGTCACATCGGATTACAGAATTAACATTTATTCATGTCCAGGCAACAATGTTCAATCCTAATTTGGTAAGTTTAGAAAAAAGTTTTAATGATGACTGGACTTCGGTTATTATGTAAGCAGATCTTTTCATTCATTTTGAATTTTGAGACTGACATTTAATTACAGTTTTAAGACTTTTTATAGAAATTTATTTCAAGTTGTCAAGTAGTTAGTTGAGGAAAGGAAGTCATGAAAACCAAGAACAAGTGAGAAATTTTTCGTTTATCTTAATAACTGTATATACTCTAGATTCTTGGGTTAGAAGCATTCCTTTTTCATCAAATATTCATGAGACCTTACTAGATGCTTTGCTGATTCTAAAATTCGTAAGCTTTTTTTATTTCATTATTCAGGTTAGATACGAATGGAGATTAGATACTTTATTTAGTCTTAAGTTTTGGTAAGATTTCACCACTAACATTAAATTTGCTTTGTTCTACAAATATTTGTTGCTGAACTTGTCAGCTGCCCTTCAGCTGCAACGATATTTATCATCACCATTATTGATCGGTGGAAATTATTGGAGAGCGAATGCCCTGAAATTAGAAATTGGATTTCAGCACGAAGCAATTTGTTTGGAGAATATTTGTCGCAACAATTTGTTCATAATTGTCTTTATTTAAGGATCTCGAAATCGAATATATCGTAACATCTTTACTAATTATTTTTTATTTTTTTTTAGATCGCTGCTTGTTCTGATAGAGTAGTTATTAGAAGTAGTTAAATTTAGTTGTCTAGTCTCTTCCTCCGAACATTTCGTTTCATCCTCTTCTCATAGTAACTATCCTTTTTTTCGCATTCGTGTTTCAGTAAACTCACGCGTTTTTACCGCTGAATGAAAAACATCTGTCATTGTAATTCCTTGACAATATCTAGTAATATGAAAAACACTGTGTTTCACTATTGTCACACTAAATTCACCACACACTGCCATATTAATATATGATTTTAATGAATATATAATTCGTCACTGTTTAGATTGTTTCATTGTAGATGTTGAAAATTTCCTGCATGTAGCTTACTTTCAAATAAACCTTGATAAATCTGGTTCATCAGTTTGATTTTTTTTTTCGAATTGGAAATTTAATCATTTTACCTATTTAACTTATAACTACAAAGAAAATTTGTCGCCAGGCTTTTCGGGGCAAATACTGAGATAGTATTCTGCAAAAAATCATTTAGATATCGATGACTACCTCATTTATTTGTGCTTCAGATGATGTAATTTTCACTGACAACTGATCGAGGTGCTACTGAAATTAAGCATATAAACAGAGAAGGTTAGTCTGAAGCGATGTTCAACATACCATCTTCAATTATAACACCAGGAAAGAATTTCGTAATGGAGGGTTGTGAGAGCTACTATTCACTATGCTCTGCCATCTTTGAATAAATTCCAAAGTACACATCTGTATAAAACTTCTAGTTTCAGCAGCTTTATAGTTAAGATATTCGTTTGAATCCTGTTTATATACAAAACATTTACCTACTTGGCATAAATATTCAAAACATCAGAAACTTAGAAGACATAAATTAGAAATTTCACAGAAGTTGCATAGGTTGTTTTACAACTGAGCATGCTTTAGTTTATGTCATTTTGCAGCTCAATGACATAACAATGGGGAGAAAACGAAGAAAGTATAATGGATGAAAGATAACAATGCAGAAGCTGTAACTTACAAACTTATGAAGACACTACTACATATGAAGGAATTAAGCTATCCCCTCCCTATTGCCTCTAACCATATTTTTACTGTTTACCAACTATCATAAAATATCAACCATGAAGCTGACTGGTCAGTGCTGACTCTTTGAATTGATGAGTGGAGGAATGTGGAGTCACGTTACTGCTATTTAATTTACAAGAACAAGGAGGTGCTGTCTGGATTTTTAATCCACACGAATAGTAACTATACAGATTAAGTGTTAGATGAGACATTACTTCGACGTAAAAGTTTTTCATGCAATTTTTGCCGTTTCTTTTTGTTTTTGGGTGGAGTTACTGATGAGTCACTCGATTTCGGCGTACTGAAAAACGACTTTTCAAAAAAACTCAATTTCCTGAAGAAAAAAGCTTAGGAGGAGGAGGGGTTTCAATGAATACATAAACACCCCCACGAACAATTAGTGATGCCACCAACACTTAATCAGAAGTGATTTCACAGTTGACATCAAAGACTTCTTTCAGGCGTCCAGGGCACGATTTCACCAACATTATAAAAGCGCCACTTTTCAAGAAATATTTCGAGAAATGACTAAGATTCCAATTGTTATATGAACGGCCTAATTATGTTTCTCGAATTACCATTTTCAGGAGTATTTCTTTCAGTGAATTAAGAACAAACCTTTCAACCTCAATGGGCGTTCGTGGTATTGTTGTAGTCGGTGATCTTGGATCCATTTCAACACGTCGAACAATCTTCCTTGGTTTAGTTGGAGTACTAAATACATCATCTTGGAGAAATTCCTTCTTTTCTTCCTTCATTTTCCCGAAAAACTGACCCATCACTGACCGCTGGGGTTAGTAACTGAAAAGAGAATATTATTGTATTAAAATTAATGTCTTCTGATGGACTTTAAGAAACCATGATTTCTGCATTTTGAGTAGGAGGGCTACAGGGAATAGTTGAGGGAATTGCTCAATTCTGTACAAATGGATGAATGATAACAATTTAAAAAAGAGTAGCTATATTAAAATAAAATCACCGGTGCCGTATTCGCTTCACTCAGCTTGTGATCCGATCAAGTAAGTACCGGAAATCAGTACAATACGGAGATGTTATTTTGGTGCTGAAAAATTATAAAATTATAAACGAATCGATATTTCATAACATCAGTTAACGTAGCGTCATTAAAAAACTATTTTAAGATTTTTGAGAATATGCTGTGAAGGAATTACACTGACTGATATATTCATGCCTTAAGTTTGTGTTTGACGTTTCTATGAGGTAAAGAGCACTGAAAGGGATTAATGTTCAGTAGTTCCAAATATATGATTACAGCTTAACATTTCAACGAAAAATATTACTGAAATTAATTAGCAAAGATCTGATTAATTATTCAGGACAGTAATGCCAATAAAATTTACAGTGTAGAAATGCTTTCTCTAATAGAGAGTTTGCAATGTGTCAGCGAAAGAATCATAGGGTAGAGAGATTTCGGATTATGACCGTCACTTTTCAGAGAATTGAGGTGGAAAATCTTATGATATCGGATAGAATAAATATTGGAAGGAATTAGAAAATCCACCGGAAGTATAACTTATTTACTAAAAATATGCTTAGAGACAGCGAATGGATTCTTGCTGATGTTTATATAGGTCTTTTTGCCATGAAAAGAAGGGAGGAGTGATTGCCAAACGCAAAAGCATACATGGGTAGAGTTAGTATTAATATCCATTCCTCTTTCAGAATCCGATAGCGTGCTTGGAAGATTTTTGTTTCAATAAAATGGTCACTTTTAGATGAAATAACTTTTAGGAAGAACAAGTAATCAGACAAAATCTACTTTGTAATTTCCCGACCTTTACCAAATAAAGAGAGCTTTGAAAATGTACTCAAAATAGGATATCCGCGCATCGAGATTCTTCCAGATTTCAGCTGCAGGAAGTGTAGAAAGCAGTAAGTATATTAAGGGCCTATATTCAGCCAAGAACGGTATGCAAACAGCTACACAAAATACATTCAAGCACGATTACTTATGGAAATCGATATTGCTCTTGAACTATATTAGTTGGAATCAAAAACACGCCCTTAAATTATGTAAGGGAACTGCAAAGTGTGTTGGCCTAATTCCTAGTGTATGTCAACCAGGCCTACGGGGCTAACTGGCAGTTACAGCATATAAGAAGCCCCAAAAAACCTCAAGATTTATTGAAAAATTTCAAATTCTCGCGCTTCCACAAACGTCAAAACAACAACTCTAAAGATAATCGTGCTAGGACCTACCAGAGAACAGCTGGGCGTACTGATGGTGCATTCTTGACCTGAAGCTTTCCCGAACATCCTTGATCCTAGAGCATTCCCGAATCCTCCTGTGAGATGGAGAGGATGAGTTGTCAGTCATCATTCATTAGTGGCTGCACAGTCTAACACTAACGAATCCCTTGCAAATGACCTTAAGCGAACCTCAGTTAAGTTCATCTCGTTTTTACTAACTGAAATGCTAAGTTAAATAATGTCTTTGAGAGCCATCATCTCTTGTGTGTTATGCTAAGGATAAATTGTGGAGAAAGTTGGTGCGTATATTTCAAGAAAATATTTTACAGAAGCAAGTCCAGTTTGTGAGAGTAGTTGTGAGAAATTGGGCAGAAAGTCCAAGAGAGAGGAATTGAAAGAAGAAGGAAAAATAAAGAGAGGAAAAAGGAATCACGATGGATAGACGTGGTGGTGGCCCAGCTTCTGGTGTTGGGGCAGCTTCTCCACGGAAACATCAATCCTTCCCTTCATGCGTCACAGATATCTTGGAACAGGTACCGTTGTCACCTTTACTAAACTGGTACGCTGGAGATGCTTTTATTTCACATTTCAGTACGCTATGCTTTATCTGACTAAGTTTTCCGTACATTTGATATCTTAGTACAAGTGGTTACCACTGAAAAGTCTGTTATATAATAATTCTTTTAATAGTTCGCCTAAGAATTATAAAGAGCTCAGACTTCAGCAAAAGAAAATTTTTAGTTCTAGCCTTTCCATCTCACTTTAATTTAGAGTGACAAAACAGTGAGCTTAATTTTAAAGATTTTTAACTGGATTTTACTAATTTATTGTGTCTTGATTTATATCTTTTAGCTTAGGAAATGTGGATACTTTTTATGCACTGAATATTTCGATTGTGAAATCTCTATGAAGTGATATCGAGAAAGTGATACTGCTTGAGGTAACGAAAGTTTGCGGTCAGCAAGGACAAAAATGGCGTGGTCCTGCAGCGCTTCGAAACAATGAATTACAGTATCAGTTGGATAACGATTTGTTTTGCATTTCTCCGGATCGACGAGTATCTCGATTAAATCAAATACAGCAGTTACGTCTAATGCAGATTCTTTGCGATTACTTCAGAGTGAATTCTTCCTTTTATTTTAATAGTACTTTTACTTTCTGATACACATTTTCCTTAACAACTTAAAATGTTAGTTTAAGATAAATTCACTAAAATGTTAGTTTAAGATAAATTCACGGCCAAGTTAATTTAGCAACATTTTTCAAAACATATAATTAAAAGAAACAGAAGTTAGTAGGATTTTGACTATTTTTATAAGGCGAAAACGTAATTATTCTAATGACTAACGCAAATTACGAACTCTACTTCCATTACTGGATAATAGGAAGCACTGTTGCACGATCTTCTATGAGTTTCAAGCGGAGGAAGAAAGTAATACTTCTTTGTCACGCCTGCAAATTTATTATAGTTCGCCATAAACAGAAAACATGAATTGTGTACTAAGTGGTTATCTTCCATGGATTTCTGCTGTTACTGGACGTTACGAATTGTTTTTTACGTAACATCTTTTCAGGAAAGAGAATCCGAACCACGCGGCCATCAATATTCCTATTTTGAAGCTATATTTTGTGGCCGTGAAGGTGAACCACTTTTACACGAGACACGTATTTCTTTGCTAATCAATTTGTGTTCACTAGCTGTACAGTACCCGTGTTATTCAGTGTTAAACCATATTTCACAATGGTTGCATAAGGTTATACTTTTAAATTTACATGTGTCATAGTCTTCTGTGTTAGAATTTCAATGTTTCATTTGGATATCGTTATAAATAACTTTTTTAGATTGGCAGTGGAAAGTCATATGCACAACAGTTTGTTTCCCAGCTTGTCGATCATTACATTTTCATTCCAGATGATTCTAATTTGGTGAGACATTTTTTAAAATGTTTTTTCTAGTGTTGTGATTAGCAAAAACAAGAAAAGGCTTGATAAGGGTCTATACAGAGCAATTTAAAAAATCGAAAGTATTTGTTCTACTGCAAAGATTTGGCAGATCTTGTCATTTTAATCGACTTTTTTTTATGTAATGTTTTTGCATTTCAGCACAAATATCTGTTACCTTTGGCTGATGAAGTCCCCGAATTCGTTTCCTATTTTGTTGCTTACTCGGTAACGAGAGATTCATTGCGACAGTCACTTTTTTTAGTTCTGAATCATTGGTTAACTGGTCGGCGTAGTGACCTCATTATGGCATTTATCAGAGAAACTCCAATTGTTACAAAGCATTTCGCTTCTGTGGTATGTATTCACTTATCATTATGAATTAAATGAAATCATTATAACTTTTTCTTTATTTTTATGTAAACTGTTCAGACCTTTCCATTTATGGTTGTTCATGATTGCTCTGTTGGTGGTGTCCATAAAAATCCATTACATGGTTTTACAACAATGCTTTACTCTGACTGGAAAACTTCTCCCTCATTAGAATTGAGACCGGCTCTCGAGGTATGCCTTTTTTTTTCCTTTTTTAGGTTAATTTTATTACTGTTAGCTGTTCAAATAATTTTGTCGTTGTCAGAATTGAAGTGCCTTGCGAAGATTCAGAAACATATATTTCTTTCTATTTTTAAATAGAATTGTAAGCTATCCGTAACATTAAAGCTTGATTTCTTCAAGAGACATCTTCCGTTGTGGTATTAGTGCTGATTTACTGTATCATTTGTGCACTTCATGTCGTATTTGAATTTTTTGGCACATAATCTATATGATTGTCATCTATTTCAAAGAATTTAATATATTTAAAAGATTGTCCATGAAAGTTTCATGTATTCTTCAGATTTTGTCGAAAGCTGCTGATTATTCAGTTTTTGACAAAAATATCCTGTCCTATCACGTTCATCTCGCGAAGCTATCTCATATTCTCACACAAAAAGATTTGTTGGATATTCTTGAAAATCCCGACTCGAGTTTATTCTTTAAATCTCTGAAAGATGAGCTTTTAAAAGTGTAGTTTTGTTTTTTCTAATTGTTTCATTACAAATTTTATTCTGTGTCTGTTACATTATGTAGTCCATTATTTCATGAGATGGATCATTTTGTACATTGAAGAAATAACAAAGGAAGCAGTGGCATGCAAATTGATATTTACTTGAAAAATAATACGATGTGAAGTTTTTATTAGTTAATTACGTAATGTCTGAATCTATGTACCACTTATTTCAGCTTTATTTTTTCATTTTATTTTTGTATGAATCATTTAACTACTTTTCGGTGCATAAATGACTAACAATTCATATGAGAGGTTTGATTTTCTCTTGTTTTACTCGAATAAATACTTTGATTTTCTGCTCTTTTTTTTTGGAGGCTTTCAAATCCTCGGTCCTTTCCTTCAGTTAACTAATGTTACTATGTAGTTCTTCTTCTGACTTTTGAAACTCTTGGCTTGTTCGTACAACTTCTGTTAAGATTGTTACAAAATATTTCGCTATAATGTAAATGAGATGTTAGATGCCTGGAAATGTTTATTGTTATTCATTTCCTTTGCTTTATAATTATGATGTAACTAAACTCAAAATTGAAAAGCTTGTTAAGCTGATCTTATGCTTTTTTGAGACATTTTATTAAAGTGAAACAAATTATAGTTTAGGGTAAGCTGGTATCATGCAAAGACTTTCGAAAGATGGAGGAGTAAAAGATAAAATGTTTTTTTTTTTGTTGGATTCATATTATTAGAGAGATGATTTAAATCAAGTGGGCATTTATCCAGTGGTTGCTTAGTATTAACATTTAGGAGAAGAGACCTTTACATAGAACAGTTTGCAAAGATTCTCTAGATTCGAACTTTATAATGCATTTCAGAGATTCAAGAACAACTGATAAAGATATTTCCTTAAGTTTCTATCACTATGAGTGTCATGTTTGCAAATTCGCGGTCCAGTCAAATGAATAATGGTTATTTAGTTGAGTTCAAGGTTACTTTTTTTTGTATTTGTGAGAGTTTTAGATCCTCACATATGGCAACACATTCTGAGAGTTGTGGATTGACCATAAAGATCTTTTTCTATTTGGTTGAATTAGAATAGTGTAAAATACTAATAAGTTGCTTGGCGAATGTCATATTCGCTCATAGTTTGTGAGATTAATATGTAGAAGCAAACATTTTTCTCATACTTTCTGGTGAAAATTAGGGTGGAAATAGTATCGGCAAGCATCAGATTATGAATAAAAGGTTTCTCAAGATTTTGATTAATTGAGGCCGGCAGGTCGAATTTGCAAGCGGGGTCAACGGTAGATAGACGAAAGGTTGTAGCTGATAAAACGAAAGGATTAGTTTTTATCAAGCAATCCAGTGATCAACTAATGCATTTCTGCTGGAAAAATCGTGAAACTGGAGCGATTGTTGATGTTAGTGGCATTATTAATATATTTTTATTTAAGATTCATTGTGTTCTACATATATTCAGGCTTTTAATGATTTCAAACACGTAGTAGCAACCATTATTAGGAAATCTCTTTCTATTTTATATTTCACGATTCTTTCGTAACATTGTAGTGGTGGTTTTTTAGCGCAGGAAATCAATAAATGAGTACTCATCTTTTGTATTTCGCTGCTTTGTTTTTCCATAGATATTTTTTATAATGACGAAAGGGACTTATTGTTGAGGGAGCAGTTGAAGTGTTTTTGATGTTCACAGTTTTTCGGATACAATAGGAGTTCAGAGATTTCCCTACCATGGCTGACAGTTGCAGCTGGAATTAATGACATATTAATGTATTGGTTTTTCTTTGAAAATTTATCGCATAATTTTATGGAAAAAAGTAACAGCATAAGCGACATAATGGGGAAACGAAGAGAAGAATTCATAAAAGAGCTTAAAATATTCTGGAAAGCCAAAAATCCCTTTTTATGAATACTTGCATAATTTAAATAAAGCAAGCGTTGTATCCATACGCAACTTCACAGATTTTTTTTAAAGGATTTGATCATTTTTCCTGGTGACACAGAATTTTTACGAGTGAAGGAATGTACGGACGGTCGCGTCTATATGTTGAAATTCAAAAGCACAGATGAAAAACGTTTATTCTGGATGCAAGATGGGAAAGCTGATAAAGACGATGAAAACTGTAAAAAAGTTAGTTTCTTTTGATCTGTCCTTCTTCATGGTTAAATAATCTTTCATAATATTCAGTTGTTTTCTGATCAGACGATAAAAAGAGGTAATGTTTTAGTGATAATGTTGTTGTAATAAAATGTGTTTTATTCGGTCGTGAATTTTTGGACATAGACTTTCATTTTCACGGAAACTTTGTTACAGACTTTAACTGTATAGCTTGGAACCTGCCGGCTTTCATCATTGTTCCCTAAAGTCATTGTTCAAAAATCCCCGGTCTAGGGAGTGTTTCTTTTTTCTTTATACTACTAATTATTCAGAAATACACGGGAGGAAGTGAAAAGAATTTTTTAGGTAAATGAAACGTTAAATAATCCTCCAGCACCACGAGCCGCAGCACGCGGAGGAACCGATCGTGCTGGCGCTTCATCGTTTGGTACTTTAGCAGCTTTGGGCAATGCTGGTGCGGATGGTGAACTTGGAGCATTGGGAAATTTAGATCAAAGTCAATTAATGCAGTTACTTTCATTGATGAATCATACCAACGGTGCATCAGCTGGTGAAGCAACCAATCTTCTGCCGCAACTTCCGCTTGTTGCTGATGCACCACATCCGTTAGATTTCTGGTTTTTTGCGTTGGAATCGTTCCATTTCACAAAGATTTTACAATTAGTATTTAACGTACGCAGCAGCATTCACATGTAATTTACCTGTGTTATTTCTGTTTATTCCCGCCATAATATTAATGTTAATACTATTCGACTTCATTCATATCTCTCTGATGAGAATTAGACTGGCTGGAAACTTAGGATCGGAATTTCAGACTATGAATATTCTCTCGAAATTTTTCAACGCAAAGTAGAACTTGGTAATTCGAATAAGAATGAATTCAAAAGTGATTTAAATATATTTGCTAAATTATGCTTTCATTTTTTAATGGCATCATAGAGGGAACCCTGTTTCATATTTTAAAATAATCTTATCAGTGTCTTAAGAATTAATGAAAATATTGGATATCTTAAAAATCTATGTAGCTAAAATTTTTGATAGTGAATATATAAAATAATTTCTAGAGTGGCTTCAGAAGAAAGTGGAGCAACATCCACGCAGGGAGCAACACCATCCAATACACCTGCTAATGGAACTGTTGCTAGTAGCTCCTCAAATAATGCAGTGCAGCTGTCGCAACTGAAAGAAATTATTGCAAGTATAACGCCACCTGACGGATCTGGAAGAAAACGTAGGTTCTGAAGCATTCTAAGTAGTGCTCTGTGTCGTTTTTCCAAGAGATCTGAAAATTTCGAGACAAATCCGGGAAAAGACGATAAAATGGAACATTAATCAGCGTTCTGTCCTCTTTCATTGGGCCCACCTGGTTGGATTGCACTTTTTTTTATACGGAGCATCTGGGAAAATTATATGCAAGTGTTTAGATAAATTGGGGATAACGCATCAAATAACATGATTATTATATAAGACTTTCTAATTCATATGAATTTCAGCGAGGAAGCAGGTCCCCTTTAACAGATATAAATAACAACATTTCTCGAAGTTAGGATTTCCAGAATAGTTCACATTGTTTTAATTAACAATGAAAATGACTTTTCTACTGAGTGGCACAAATCACGTCATATTTTTTAGATTTTATATCCGTTTCAGCTTCAATTGACTTTACTGATGTTCTATGCTGTGCTGATAAAATTAACGATGTTTTGGGGAAATATGCTGAGCGACTGACCTGTCATTTGCCCAATCAAGTAATTTCTTTTTAACTGCTTCAGTATTGGGATGTGAACGATAAGTTGCATGGAAGTATGAGCTATGAGTACAGTTTTCAAAATAGTTCAAAATAGAACTTTGTGTCTCTGTTGCATACAGAACCAGCAACTGATAACTAAAAACAGCGGATAAATTCTAGTGCTGCAAGCACGTAATGAAGTTGCTTTTTCGAAATGAATGAGCTGAAGCGATGCATAAGAAATGAATTTTGGTGGGATGCTCGTTTTACTTAGTGCTGAGTTTTATGACAGAATTATATTTTGGAGATTACAGTTAACTTTGTTGGCTGAAAAAGTTATCTATAATTCAGTAAACGGAGAGAATAGTAAGATAAATATTACTAGTGTAATCAAGAAGAGTATGTTTAATTTTAATGTGGGATCTAGTCAGTTAAATTTGGGAAGGAAAGCAAACTTTATCTATTATGGACTAATATTAATCACGGAAGATATTCCATTATGAAAGTATTACATCTGTGAATCTTAATTCTATTTATATCAAGGAGCCTATCTACAATGAACAAGAAGAACTGGAGCAAACACTTCGTACACCTCAATTTCGGCAGGCAGCTGATATTTTCGGCCATGCCTTGCAGACTGGACAGTTGGCACCAGTATTGCGACAATTCGGCATTGATGAGAAAACAGCTACAGCTGCTGGAAGTGGAGGTAAATTCATTTCTAAACAATTTCCCGAACACAAGGAAATTGAGCGGACAAATTCTGAAATATTTAAGAAAAGGAAGACGCTACTGTTACTCATTCATGAGTTGCAGACATGATTGCGTGGGCAACACAGTTTACAGCGAGTGAAAGTGAGGAGGAAAAAGTTGCGATGAAAATTGAAACTTCATCCCATCCTGGTAAGTTGCTGAATACGCTGGGAAAAGCAGATTTAAATATTTTGTAAAGTCCAGACTGCAATTAAAGTTTCTGGACGACCAGTGTAGAATTGAAGGCTTATAATTATTAAACCAGTCCATATATTATTTGTGCCATTTAAAATTTAGCTTAATTCTGCAGACATGGAGTCGGATGTTGAAGATGAGGAAACTAATGAGAAGGTTGTTCGTGAAGCAGAGAAGAACAGACCCGACGATCATATGGACCTCGATTAATACATGACCTACGATTAATACATGGCATATTTTCATTACACAATACAGAGTTGCATCATATGAGGTGCAAGTCCTTGTATTTGATTCTATTTTAATGAGTGTTGTATTTTTCTGCCTTCATAAAAAAGAGTGTTCGCTTTTGGAAAATGTATCAGAATGAAGTCATGAAGTTTTGTAAATTACACATTGTTTTTTCCTTGGTCAGAGGAAATATATATAGACTAATTTTAACTTTCGGAAATGTAGCCAACATTTTAATGTAGTTGTGAAGGAGTTATAGCATTCGCTGTAAAATTTATAGATTTAACGGATTATACCAATACCAAAAAAGCACCCCTCGCGAAATCTGTATTTCGATTCTGTGGCTAGGTCGGGCAACATTTATGCTAATTAGACTTTTTTTGAATAAAATGGTAGATCTGTCTTCTCTTCTTTGAAGGGATAAAGAATCACATACTGTAGGACATACTGTCCTTAGCCGCGAAAATTTATTAGTTCAAGTCTTGGAACTCGACTTATTCAGCAGTGGATTTCACTTTCATTTACTGGACTATCCTGCCATCCATTTTTTTCAGAATTGTTCACACTATTTCGTTGGTTTATGTGAGCAGTACGCAAAGTAAAGTGTACGGTTAGGAAGAATGCAGATTTGAAATTTTTTTTATAATTTGTAATGTTCTACTGAAAACATCAAAAAATATTAAATTTTTACATGGACCAAGAGGAAATTTAATGGTTCATGTAACAACTTGATATGTAACAAAATAAAAATATTAAGTTGCAACAAGCTTGGTTTTCCCGCCCAAGTAAGGCACAATTTCACTTATATATTTGCTCAGGATTTGATTTACTAGATTTCTTAAATGATTTTTTAGCAGTAACTAAGTGGATCTATAAAATGATGTAAATATAGGGGCCTGGAACACAGAAACCACGCTCAACGAGAAAAAAGCCTGCAAAAAAAAAATGAATAATCCAGCTGTATTGCAAAACAGGAAAAGTGTCGTCATAATAGGAAAAACAAATCATGAATGCAGAACTATGAAGTCGTCTTCATATTCCGTGCCATTTTTGCAAGTGCTTTTTTGCGAACAAGCTTGGTTTTCCCGCTCAAGTAAGGCACAACAATCCATTCCGGGAAGTTCTTTATAATTTCAGCCTGAAAAAAACGAAGTGTCTTCAATAAAAAAAATGAAAAGTTTCTTCCAATACAATCTTAAAATCCGAATGAATTCCAGGCAGCACCAAACAAAGTTAAGTCACTATACTGCAAAAAATTGAAGCTGCATAACGGTAAAAAGGATTCCGTAGAATTAAAAAAGAAGAGATAAGTATGGAAAGTTGTGATATTCTATGCTATAACTTGTTACTAAACAAAAGCTGCAATTCGAAAGAATGAAAAACAAACTTGCAACTGATGTGGAAAACAACCGGTTGTCTCATCCACAATTCCAATCGTCTTAATTGCATTTTTCGCGAAATCTTCAGCTGTCACGAAAAAGAATGATGGACGCGAGACCTGTAAAACACTACTGAATGTATCCATGGATAAAGTTGCCTGCTACATAATTTTATCAGAAGCATTATAAATCGAAAGATTTAGTTTATCACTTATTTAGAAAGATGAAAATAGCTTGAATAAAAGTTTTTGCAAATTATTTTAGTTAGTAAACATAACCTTGGACATTTTGGTAGTAACAAGCATAGGACACACGGTCTGGATGATTATATTCGTCTGAGCGTATTCTTTTTGTAAAATATTTGAAAACCAAGTGACATATTTCTGTAACGTAATAGGAATATCTTGGAAGATAAAAAATAACCTGACTTTATAGAAGGATTCATTCACATTAAATAAGTGCTAAAATAAATTGAACAATTAATATTTTGTCAACTAGTTTCACAAAAATATTATTACCTTTGATGCTGAATAAACACTAAGCAAGCTGAGTGGACTATATGCAGTAGCAGAGGATATATTCACAATGATGCCATTATTACGCTCAACCATTTGAGGCAATACTGCAGCAGACAACTGTAAAAGAACTCGAAATTTATTTCGAAAAAAATCAGTTGGCAAATTTTAACGCACAATAAATTCTTCGAATTTCGAGTTTAAACTTTTAACGATGATATAAACTTGATGGATTCTGTGAGATATAATATAACGTGGTTAGTTTTGTAAACCTAATATTTAAAAATTTTCCGATGAAAGTATAGTAATTCAAGTGGGATAAGTCAACAGCCACCAAAAACCCTTGTCCTTGTCCAAAAAGAGCACCTGAAGATTCAAAATGAGAATAAAAAAGTTTGTCTAAAATTTACCAAAGTTACGGGAAGAGTATTAACAATATCGACATCTGCAAGTCTTTGAAGACCACCTTCTGCCTTATAGATAACTTCCGGATAACTGAAGCTTACACCAACGTTGTTAACTGCAAATAATTCACTATGTATAAAATGAATAAATTTTTAAAGGAAGCCTATATCATTTATGTATAAGAATCTATAATTAACAATGAAATGATTCTAAGTTAATATGTAATTATAATTCTAATTCGTTATTTCTTACTATCAAATTTCAGAAACGCGATCTTGAATCGTGATCAGTCGTAATTTATTAATTTGTTTAACGTGTGTGGATTGCATATTTCCATAAGTGATTCTTTTAAAAAAGAATTCACTGCATGAAATACCGAAGTATAACTCTCACCCAGTATCCCGATATCTAATTGTCTTAGCAGAAACAGCACTGTCTTTTCATATTCATTGATATTTCCACTGGTGAAATCGAATGCAATTGTTTTGATCTATAAAGGTGTGAATCCGTGCTCAAATTGTAATTTTTAATCTTGTGATTAAACGCAAAAACAATTGAAGTGCTAAGTTTTTTCCTATAAATGAAACACGGGACTACTATTTAGTAATGATCACTTCTCAATGGCTTTCAATAATAATTCAATTCCAGTTCCGAATTTCGAAAATTTAGTCAGTTCCAAATTTTGTTACCTGCTAAATTTTCAATAAGCTCCAACTAAGAGAAAAAAAAAGTCTATGATTAAATTGCATTACTGTTTACAAAGCAGATGTTCATGTTCAAAAAACGAGTAAACTGTATTCATATAAAAACAACTACAATGTAACTTCGGTTGGGGCGATTTTTCAGCTCGCAAAAGGTACTGAGGGAAAAAAAAATCAACAAACAACATGAATATGTTAAAGAAAAACCTCGATGCAGCATTCTTTTTCAAGTTCCTCCTTCACTGCATCCAACTTGCTTTGTGTACGTGATATTAAAACAATAGAGAAACTGCGCCTTGCCAACTCAAAAGCATAAGCTTTTCCTATTCCGTCGGTACTACCAGTAATAACTAAAAGCAGTGAAATAAAAACTTTTATTATAAACTCAACTTGGATTGTATTTTCGAACTTTTATATTTTATAACTACTCCTTGCGCACTGTTGAAATAAGCTACTTTTGCATTCAAATTCCATTTTTTTTCCATGAAAAAAAAAACAATGAAGAGTATTTCTTACCAGCCCATTTGCCACCAGCAGCCTTGTTTAGATTGATGGGGGTTGCAATGAAGAACGGATAAACGAGATTATAAAAAATTATGGCCAAGTGATACAACAAATATAGAAGGAAAATCCAGCCAAGTAACACCAATGCACATTCACAGACCATTCTGTACACCTGAAATAGATATTTCAGAACAAACGATAAGTAGCCTAAATTAAACTAGACTTGCAGCGCACGACAATAGAAAGACACAAGATGCGTACAAGATATAATGAAAAAGGGAAGAGACGGTCAGGAACGCGTCAGAAGGGGAAGAGACAGATGGGAATTCTATTACCGACGACTAAAATAGATAGGAAAGAAAGAAAATATAATGAAAAATTAAGAGACCGCAGTAGGTACGGCTAGGTAACAATGTTAGCCAATGTTAGGCGTGGACAAGTAGCCAAAAAGACGGATTTCCTGAGGTGCGGTGTAGAGTAAGAGTCGATTTTTGGATAGAATAGGATAGAGGTGATAAGAGAGAGTGTGGGAAATGGAAACATGGTAATTGTGAAGTAGATCTAGACGGAATAGGGTATAAGTAGTTATAAGTTTGAATTCGACTAAAGAACAAATGCGATAGTGGCAGTTGACTGATAAGGAAGTGAAGGAATAATGACAAATGAGAGAACTTGTTGATTTCACTTGTCCCATCGTTGTCATCACCTCCTCCCATGAGTTCAAAGACCATTCGCATGAACTTCACTTTGCGATGAAGACATAATGAAACATAGCCTTCTGCACCTTCCTGCGTGGAATGTTGGGGGGGTTAAGCTACTCAAATCCACCAACTTAATCTCCAATGGAAAAATCGAAATAAATTTATAATTTTGAAATAATTTAGTATTTAAATCCATAAAATAGAAATTTATAGATTAAAAATTGTCTTTGAATATTCCTTGTACAAATATAAAACTGTTTCAAATTTGCTCACAACTAAGAAATCATTTATTCAAGATTATTTTGCAACTGTATTTCAGCGTCTAAAATGTTACAATCTGTTGACAAAGAACTACCAATTTTAACAAAGAAACTACCAAAGGGTACTGATCATCGTAGAGGGACAACTTTTTACTTCCACTAATTATGCGCTTTTTTATAAGCCAATTCTTGTATAAGCAGTTAAAATCATTGGCTTGGCTCAGTTTTTGAGTATTTCAAGCTTCGATTCAGTTTCTCCGACGACCTGCAGCTGAGCCCAACCAAATTTCTCCTACGATCAACCACCTCTGATATAATTTTATATTATCCAACAATCCCTACAACATCTATCAAAACTTTATTACGACTATTTGTTTAACATCAATCCACCAACTATAAGGACTTTATCGTCAATCGTCAATGAAAAAAACTAAAGTTTCCCAACACCACATTGTCACCGAGTGGTGTAGAACTCTCCTGTGATATTCTTCAAAATAAATAGTCGATGTCGTCCATTGCAGGACAGAAAAGACAGTAGTGTTGGGAAGAAGATAAAAATTATGCTGCGTTATCTGGTTCCTTCAACAATGAATGGGTTGCATGCATAATGAAAAGTACATACATGTGAAGTAAGCAAATGCGTACGTCACGACTACGTAATGAGATAACGTAATGAGATAAGTAAATCTTTCCTCATCCCTCTTCAACATACAGACGTGGTGTACGTTGAGACTGAAATGCTGAAGCTGCTGACACTTCTATTAGTGAAGGAGAGATGAGCTGCCACGGTGCTTCTCGACAGACGTACGCCACCAACACATTACATCCTCACACACACATACATAGTACAGCCACACACACTAGTAGTGCAGTTGCAGCTTCGATTGTTGGTTGCATTCTGCATGTGTAATGTTTCGTTGAGTGTGACATACGGTGTTGCCTCTTAGTAATTGCTCGTTTCTTGGGGAAATTGACGTAAGGTTAAGAGAAGCATGAGGGAACGGGTTCATAAAGTTAATTTTATTTTCAAGTTGTTAATGTCAAAGATTGCCCTTTACGATAACAATTGTCGTGCACAGTGGTAATACTGATAAATAATAAGACATAGGTGTAACAATACTTCCTATTTCATACTTTTTAAAAAAATTTATTCTTTAAAATTTTCTTCCGAATTTTTTGTTTTTTATTGTCACTACTGTATGGTCAGTTATCAAATTTTACTTTTTTTTGTTGTTTTGTTACATTTTTCGTGAAAGTTATTCAATGTACTGAATAAGTCTTATACAATTACTTCCATTTCATATCTCATATTTTGTTGTTTATCATAGATGTATGTTTATCTTTTATGAGTACTTTATTCTGATTATCTGTAATATACAGTATGTATTCATACCTATTCTTTGATTCACGATGATTTGCCATGTTTGGACAATAGCGATACTCGCAGAGGCCAGCTAAGTTGTCATAAAAGATTTGACAAAGCAACAGCAGTCTTGCAGGAGATGCACTGCTTACTTTAGCTTTTGAAATATTATCTTCATTAAATGAGGATAGCAATAAGCGCTGTGAAATTATAAAAGCGCTCTCTCAAGCAAGTAGGAGCCAAGGGGAATAGATTTTAGATACTAAAACGGCGCTCCATGTCAACCAGCACCATGACTACTTGCATCCAAAAAGTTCAGTTATAAATGAGCACATCACACAGCTATGTAATAACAACAGAACTCTGAGGTCATGTGCTAAGATAACTCCAGATAGTAAAATAAAAGAAATTCACTTAATGAAAACCGCAAAACTATTTGCGGCGTCATGTCAAATAGGTGCTATAACAGGGAGTGCTACAGACAAGCAACATAGAGCAATGTATAACTATGGAGTGAATCTAGGGTTTATCTTTCAGGCCAAGGATGATATTAGAGATCACAAACAAGATGAAGTAAATAATTTGATGTCTCAATTATTATTTTTTTTTATTTTACTAAGTAAAAGTGAAATAGAAAACTACATAGACAATCTCTTTAAACAAGCTTTGGATAATCTGGGTGGGCTTTCAGGAGATACTAATTATTTATATAATTTATTGAATCAAGTAAAATGAGATGGCTAAAAAAAAATTATACTAGTATACAAATGTATTTTCAGTTGATTTATCTTGCATAACTTTTTCGACGAAAGATTCGTTCTAAAACATGAGCTATGTGAATTTTACGGTCACATGTGAGTGATAATATCAAGAGTGATGCTGATGAAAAAAAAAAAAAGAAAGAACTGATACCTGAAATATAAGGATAGTGGATGAAGGAGTGAGTAAGACTGACACTGAAATATCCTCAACTTTCACAGTGCCATCATCTTGAAGTGTTCATTTATGGCTCAGTTATTCACTAGATTGAGATTATCTACGAATTACCACTACATTACAACGGTTTGAATTAAAACAGTGAACTGGTAAGGAACTTATCGTATATACATATATTTCACATGTAATAGAAGTTGTTTTCATGCTTCCAGTGGTCATTAATTTTGGAATATTTCTAAGTTTAATTAATATTGACTGTTAGACGTTTATTCTAATTTTTAAATTACTTGTACTGTTTATGTGGATTGGGTCTGTTATTATTGGTCAAAATTCATTTCATTTTTCGTAGTAGGACCGGTAAGTAATTCCATACTTCACGATAACATGCTTCCACTTAATTTTCAGAATTTTTTCTTTAAACTTTTATAAAACTTACTTTAGCTTAGACTCATTTTGTGGACATTTAATGTTTGTTGTTTATTTTCTCAAAACTTCGAGAAAAATAATTCGAAATATTTTATTTGAATTGGATCCATTCATGTCATAGCATAATGTTCGTTTGATGGCATCCTTACTTTTTTTCCCTGTATTAAAATTTAAACTCTCAAGAATTTTTTTTTTAGGTGTTTAAGTCATTCCAATTCCAACATATACACTTAAAAGCCCTGTTATGATCACATAATTTAACTAACCCGAATGACTCAAAAATCATCAGACTCAGCAGTGAAAATTCTGGATTTATTCACTGAAGATCCATTGCTACAACGTCTACACCGGTTGTTTACCGTATTTAGTGATAATGAACACCATATAAGTCCACATCAAGCTCATTTTATCATTGGACAGTTGTTCAGGTGATCATTTTCGGACGGAGATTCTGGAATCACGGAATTTATAGAATAGTTATCAGACGAGTAGTAGAAATTATAGAAATAATGAATTGAAAATGATATCAAAACGGATGAATTTTCGATCGGAAGTGCCATTATATCTTATTTTCTTTATTTCCGATGAAATAATTAAAGACTGATTTCATTTGTAATTATTCCAGGCTAAATCATGGAATCGAGTACGCACAGAACAGTTTACCAACTTTGATACGATCCAACGCCATAACTTTCCATGATTTGTTGCGGATGTGTGATTTGTTATTCCCGGATCGAAAACAGTTCGAACCACTAGTAGACAGGATTTTTGAGCGATACGTAGAGTACATTATTTGTAAGGTATGCAATTTATGGAGCTTTTCTAAAGTTATGCAAAAGAGCAGGGTAAGTTAGAGGATTGTACTTTACAAGGTTTTCGGAACGAACATTACAAAATATTGTGTTAATTGCTAGTTGTGTAATGTGAACATTAACTTTCCGGTGGCGGTTTATTAATTTGATCTTTGCTTTCTCATTAGTAATTTAAGTCACTTTCTTTTGGTTTCGAAGACTTGATTTGTTACATGAAAAATAAGAAATGCAGAGAAAAAGATAACTGAATAGTGTATAAGATACGTTGCTTACCATTTCCTGTTGTAAAAGTGTATAGATTTTTTGTAGTAACGTATAGATTTTGGAATGATCTGAATCTGCAAGATACATTCAGCGAAACCCTTCAGTTTTAAAATATTTAGTACGTCAGTTTTAATTTAACTTTAAATTTAAATTTAACTAGCTAAATTTGAAGCGAAACGCAAGTTCAGAGTTATGATTGTAAACTAATCAAAATTGGCATGAATCGTCGGAACATGCTGGAATGATTAGCATTTGCTGACAAGTGCTTCATCTTTTCTATCTGATCCATTTTAGATTACTCAAGTCGAATATCAAACATAGTCTCTTGTAAATCTGAGTGAAGGTAGCGTGCGAAGAAGACATTACTTGCTGAATAAGATTACAAGCAGTTTTCAGACATTTTTCACAAAAAAACTAAATTTAGAATGATGTAATATTTGTCTCTTATAATGTATAGTGAAATATTTTTCCTTCTCGAGAATTGTAATTATCCAATTTTGAACTCCAGGGTTTTTTGCTGCACTGTAGCAAAAGTAATACAAAGAAACGTTGCCTGATGAGAAACAATAATTCTAAATGGCGAGCCTACTGGTGTACCATAACACCCGGTGTAATACATTTGTGGCCTTTGCATAAATCAACAACTGTTCGAAACAGGAGAACTATCGCTATCGATCAAACATCATCTGTTCAAGTTGGTTCTTTTCTTTATCGGTGAGAAAAATTATACGACCATTATTCCACTTTGTTGATCATCCATTCTTATCTAGACTGAAATTTCCGGACAATATGCTTCGGCAATGATTGCCACTAATCATAGAAATAACCATCGCAGAAAAGATATATGATAGGAGGAAAGTTCAAAATGAGCCATATTGCAAGTCGGTGTTGTGAAGATTTTTAATTCTCAAATATCATTGATGAAAGCTTCTGCATTGACTTCTGCACGGAGCAGTCACATTACTGATAATTAGGAATGATATTCTACTGACATCGTGAGTAAAAGTTTATCTAATATTTTGGCCGACGATATGAGACGCTTAATTTTAGAACTAAGAAACAATACAAAAAATTCTATGCTAATATCAGTGTTTAACCTTAATATTAGATAGGCACATTTGATGAGGAACGATTTACGTGGTTACTTACCGCAGAATCGAAGCGAAAATATGAATTTGGTCATTTCGATGAACTACGACGAAAGCACTGGATACTCAGTAATGCCTGCTTTAATTATTTAATAACGTATGAACTCCAATTCTATTATACGGAAGAAGGATTGTGATGCTCATAAAGCTAAATTAAAATGTTCGAAAGATCGAATTAATTTTAATTAGTAAAATTATAGCAATGAATTTGGCTATAGAGCGAAGATCTGTGGAGGATTTGCAGAAGTATGACCGGGAATGTTCGCGTAGCACAGAGTACCCTATATTACGGGATAAAAATTTGTCCTGGAGACTGGCACTTGAATGTGAAAATGAACGATTGATGCAATTGCTGGACGATCAAAGAAGGGCCCTTCGTGATGAGGAAATCGTAAGAACAATAGCTACTAGGTAGGGATGTTGCACTGAACTAAAATTGAAGAAAATATATGTAACATTTTCATGAGCAGTGATGCAGATTACGTAAAACTTTCCCGTTTGGAGGAATGGCATACTATTGAGAGCAACAGCATCTATACTTCAGACTTGTTAAATATGAATACATATATGTGTGCTCGGAGCTGATTTTGCAGAGGTCATATTTAGTAAACTTACTTATGTTAAATTAGATGCGTAAATGAGAGTTATTTGTAGATACAGTTAAGCGGAAAGCTAGGTATTATGGAAATATTATGGAAATTACTGTTTATTGAGATGTTATTTTCTGTTGAAAGTTGATCTCTTTTTGATAACTAACAATCTTTATAATGAATAGATGGCACAGTAACTTCTGGTAATGAATTGAAATTGAATTAGTTTTAATTTTAATCTTGCTTAAAACTCAATTTTTCACTTTAGGATGCTTGATGAAGAACGTGAGAGGCGTGAAAAGCTGGAGGAAAAATTGCAGAGTTTGGTCAGGAATCGCGATGGAAATTGCAACAACAACCCCGGAACGACAAAAGCCTTCCTGGAAGTTTCAAGCTTCGAAATATTAGATAAGAACATTTCTTAAATAAACTAGGTGGTGGAGTTCAAAAATATATAAACGTTGTGGGAGAAACAGGAGGACTTCAAGAAGATTCATGACATCTTGAAAAGAGAATTCTGATGTAGCGATTACTAAAATTCATCTAATGGTAAGATATGTTATCTACAGGTTATGTAGAAACGAGAAGATATATGCATAAAAGTTTTGTATCCCAAATAATGTAACCTATCTCATTGTCAAGCATATATATAGTGAATTAAAGTGTGAAATTTTTGTTGCACCTGAGAAAATTGATGCCCTAAGCCAGGTGGTAAACTTTTGTTGCTTTATGTTACAGTGTAGTAAAAGTGGTCACTTTAAACTAAATCATTTATGGAACAGCATTCAGCACCCACATCTACATCAACTCAAAATATTCACACACAACGCCGAACAACTAGCTAATGTAGTTGGTAAAACGCAAAAAATTAAGTACGACATGTAATATTGACGATAATACGAAGTGTAGGATAAAAGAAGCACTGGAACATAAGTTGTATATGTAAAGTAAGCAAATCGAGCACTACTTTAGGTACTATATTATGATATTACAAGGGCACTTCATAAAAAAAAAAAAAAACATTTGGATTTGTAGCGAGAATTAAACACAGAACATCATGAAAAAATAGCTACATAAAAAAAGCTACACCAGCCGTAGGTTCTATTCCAGTTTGACTTACTTCCAGAGCTTATTATATCATCGCTGCTTTCAAATGTAATTTTAATGTAGAAAAAAATGATTCGAATTAGAAGTTCATCTAGAAATTTAGACCATATTTCATATAGATGAGCCTCTTTAGTACTATGTCATTGCCTTTGGGTTCTTTTCAAAAATGAAATTTTTAAGAGCGAAGCATTTTTGAACCAGCGAGGATTTGTCTGTGTAGTTGACCATATTTTAGTTCTGCGTTAACTTGCTTCACTTTCAGTTCCTAAACATACATGTTAACTCAAGTAGAAATTGTTCTATTTCCTGAAAAAATGCGAATGAGCATTTTTCACGAAAACTGACAGATACCGAGTTCTATGAGCTTCAATTTCACAAATTCATTCTCGAAAGGAATGATCGGCTAGTCTGTCGTAATTCTGTCTATCATATAAAATCGGAAACATTTAGAAAATTACGACTTCGATAAAATCTTTCAAAACATACCTGTTGTTTGTAAGCAATTCTCTTGCAAATCTCTACTAATCTATTTCCTTCTACCATCAATTTCTCTAATTCCTTGCCGTTGCAAATCTCTGACCTTATTTTCTGACACATCTCACTGGTTCCTTTATGTAGTATTTCAAATTTACTTTTCATATCTTCTAGTTCTTGCATATTTCGGGAAATACTATGCGTACATTCGTCCATAGTAAGAATATTATTCGAATCACCCACACGTTTCTGCAAATTGTCTCTAATATTTTGTAGAACAAGCTTTTGAAAAAATAGTTAGAGATTTAGGTTCAAGGATTAACATGTTTTTTCTTTTTTTTTTTTTTTTTTTTTTTTTTAATGCAGTTCTAGTAGTCTCATATATTTTACTACCATAAAAATATGGTAGTAAAAATATTCCCCAAGTACAGGAATTTGTAATCGAAAGTAAAGAAACTGATGGATGTTGCATCAAACTTTTCTAGAATCGGATTAGATGTATAGAATTGATATGGTAACGTCGTTTCAAAAACGGAAATTAGATTTCGTTAACATAACCATTATCTGTTCCATCCTTCCCATGCAATTAGTAATATGCCAAACACTGTTAGTCAGTTTTTCCGTTCGTTTCTGGTAGAACTCCAGTAGAGAATGGATTTTTGAAGTCAATTCTTTGCAGTCCTGAAATTGTTTAGTGATTTGATATAGTCTTTGTAGCCTTTATTCCATTGTCAGATTCCAGAAAAACAATGAGGAACTCAGCCATGTAAATTCGCACCGTCAAAGTTTTCTTCTTTTCTTTCCTACCAGATTTCTTCCTACTGCTGTGTGCGATTGTTATTTTCGACTAAAAATTATCAAAGTTAGTTTTTTAAACTTCTTTTAACTTGTAATCTACTTTAAGCTTGCAATCTAATATTTGAAACTCTCGAAATAAGAATGTAATTGGACCTAAAAGCTGAGAAAATTAGCCAACAGTAAATATTTTTCATTTCAAATACGAACTTGTAATTACACCTTGATGAGTTTACAGCCATCATTTGTCTCTCTCTTTCTGTCTTTAGCAAAACAAGCAAGTAATCCTGATCATCATACCACAATTCATTTCACTCTACATTTATTCTATTAGAATTGAAATGTGATGGCATTTGTATATTATAGAAAATAAAAAGAAAATGCTGCATACCCCTTCATTTATTTCTTCATTTCCTGCAAAAGCCAAGGTTATGCCTGACTTGATCAAGTAACAGAAATGAGGCTGATCACTTAAGATGACTTTCACTGCAGCCTCAAAATTATTCAAGACGTACATCATCATCTTCTTCTTCGAATTGCTTGCTTCATTTCTAAATTTCTTCACAAGTGTACCTAACTTCTCCTTTAATTGGCGTTGGAAATTCGCTGGTTCCGCTGCAGAAAATTTCACGCTTTGGAGAGAATTATCAGTTTTGTAAAAGCGATAGTAAAGTTCCATGTTTTCTTCGTGAGCCTTTTTGAGCATAAGTTCATATTGAACGATTTCCAAAGCTGTCAAATGACATTGTCGCTCTATCTTCTCCATTCTTTCTTTTGTGGCATTCTCCACTTCTGTCTTTTGTTTCTCAAGTTTTTCCTTGAATCTTTTTTCTACATTCTACATAAATAATAATATTATAGATAACTTCATGAAATAAGTAAAACATGATAAAAGTAATCATAATAATATATGGGATATAAAGTTTCTCTTTTCCAAAAATCTAGCAACATTTTCCGAGTTTCAGCCATGTCAACTTGATCCTCCTATGACGAATTTTGATTTTTACAAGGGAAAGAGTATTTTTCGATATCAAGAAACGATAAATTATTTGAAAATGTGACCAATAATTTTAAAATTCCACCTGCTTCACTGCCAGCAGTTCTACACCTTCGTTGCAATTTTTCTGCAGTGCCGCGTTCAGATCGATTATTTTGTGTTCAACGTCATATAGCTGAAGTAAATACTGTACAATGTACTAATAAAAGTAAAAAAAAAAAAAAAAAAACATTTCTATTTACTGGAAAAAATTGCTGAGAAAAATAGATTCAGGCAGCGCTAATTCTCAAAACTACAGAATACAAGTATCACCTGTTCCCTCAACTTATCTTTTTCATTTTGATACTGTTCGATTTCTGACTGAAAAGTGCTTTCCTGACTGAGCGCATCTTCCCTGAGCTGTTTGAATTCTTTTTTGAGATTTCGCTTTAATAAAGACGTTAACATTCTTCAAAACTGCAGCTTCATTATTTAGCGATGAATTAAGATAACAACACTAAAATGTGATCCTGTCCCTCCTGTTAAGATCCAGAAAATGGTATTAACATTGCTGACAAGGAAGAGACAACTGATTATAGTTGACATATCTTTCTGTAGTGTTAAATAGTAATTCATCTATTTATTACAGCAAAAGAACCTTTGAGCTTGCTTTATCTTCTCAGAATTGAAAAATATCGACAAATCAATCAATGGATAAAGCTGGCATATGTAACTCTCATCAAATATGGTAAATTTTGGGGAATAAATTGCTGGCCTTGAAAGACTATTAACCAAATAACTTACACATTGAGCCTTCCAATTAATTACATCTGTGGTACGAGCAAACATCTTAATACTCTTCTTTGCATTCCCGACCTGAAATGAGATCTGAGATTGTATGGCGAGATGGTATAGCCAGAGAAATAACTATTTCTTAGTAAATAAAAGTAATTGCTTTTCAAAATTTAGTTCGAAACTACTTACCGTCGAATAATAACGAATTTAAAGTTTAGAACATCACTGACTTATGATTTGCAATTAACAATGAGTGACTTGCAATGAACTACTAAGCACTAAGATTACTCTCACTAGATTAGCCATCTTTTTCTTCAATCCAAATCACTCTTGCTTCTTTTTCAAGATAAAATTGAATCAAAAAAATTCTCCCACTTATTCTAACCTTGCAATACATGATGGTTGATCATCTACAGCACAGAGAGAGGAAAGATGAGTAAAAATAAGGAATCACAAACCGTTATTTTAGAATTGTTAGAAATATGACTGTTAGTACATCCTTTGTGTTTCACTTGCAGTTCATCGAGCTGAAAATGAATTTGACTGTTCATCAAAAATTCCAGTTAGAATGAATCATGCGATATTCGCTTCTCATAGGAATTTAGTGATTTTTATAATTTTTTTTTTTTTTTAAATATGAAAAAGGCAAACAGTGAATGGTAAAGAGTCAAGAGTAAATGGAATATCAATTTGCTGCTACAAAAAATTATTGAAGTCTAACTTTGGCGTTAAGAATTTGTATTTTAAATTGCATAATTTGACAATTTGAACAGGAATTTCTTGCAGACTTTTCTCGAAAAGTGCGCTTCATTGGTTCTAAAATTCGAAATTTTTGAATTAAAACAATATGAAAGCAAAAGAAAACATAACGCAAAAGTTTTTGTTTTGTGCAGTGCACGACCACAGCAAGAAATCCTTTAAGATTCATTCAAAATTTGCTCTGAAACGAGAACAGTTCTGCTAATTTAACTTCGTAATTCCACTCCTAATTAAGATATTGCTGTACTACTGTATTCTTTATTGTTCGAACCATAACACTACCTTATTTTTGGATGTGATCAAAAATTAGTAAAAACCTTGTAATTTTGATTAGTTGAGGCAGTTATGATTTGCAGATCATGTAAATATTTGAAAAAAGTTGTTAGGAAATTGTCATTTATGCACATATATTGAGTTAACTTAACAGATATATGTACAGTGTACTGTGAAACCTTTAGCATTTCCATATTTCTAAATTTTCAAGAAATCGTGAAGACATGATAATCAGTGACACCGAAATATCATAAAATGTAGTTATTATCAGCCATAAGGAGAAAAAGTTATGCAGCTAATAATTCCCAGCATGAATTTCTTGGCCACCACATTATTTTCCAAAAAACGCAAAGATATAATTTAAATGAAAAAAAAAAAACTATCTATTCGTTGCCGAACATAGAATTCAGTTAAACCTTATACATATTCTGTCAACTTATTCATCGACAACGAAATTTACAGAAAAATCGAAATGAGAGTTAGAAATTCGAATTTGAAAATGAACTGAATTTTCGAAATACTGAAGGAGTTGTGATAAAATTGCCAGAATTAAAAAGAAATACAATAAGACCAAAGAATATCTCTAAAAATTAGCAACACCATTTTAAGTATATTTAAATAAATGACTAGCCTAGAAGAAATACGAGAACGCTAACATTCGCAGCAGTATACAACGGAGGATATCATAGAGCATGTAATCTAGAATTGCACAGCAGATGAGATATTGGGGACTGATGTGTCAAAGGAAGGTCAGCAACTCTGTAAGGGAGTGACGAAGAAGCAGAAAGCATTCCGATCTACCTAACTGTCAGAAAGTTCTTCTAATTCCTAGGTGAATATTTAAAGCAAGATATTAGCGGTAATATGCTGTACAGATAAGTGGCAGCAATAAGACTGGGACAGGTGAAAAAACTTGGAATTAATTATAGAAGCAATATACTACCAGAGAGAGATCAAAAATCAAAATTTTTGTGGAACGTTTTCAAAAAACTTTCTTAACTCTTCCTGTTAATAAGTTTCCAAAATTGTCAAACAAAGCTCCCATGTAACTACTTCTTTATTGTTTGTTACTATTATTTTATTGTTTATTGTTATTTATTTATTATTTATTAATACTATTATTATTGTTGTTATTGTTATTATTAATTATTACTGTTGGTTAATTGATAATGTATAACATCTTGGTTCACAGGAGACAACAGCTACATTATTATTATTATTCAACCGAAAAATCCAAAATTCAACTGGCTTATTGTTCCGGAAGGTACATGGTTCCCTGCTGTTAATCCATTTTTCATTTTACTTTTAATGATAAATAATATTCAATCAACTTTAATAATTAGAGAACTACCAGCATTTAGATAATATTTTTCATTTTATACTGCGTATAACGAATTAATGCTTCTGAAGATCGCAAAATATAAATTAGTTTTCCATATAGATCATGCTCCAAATCATATAACTTCGCCTCACGAGCTGCAAAATAATTTCAAATATGCCGTGACTTATGTAAACTCCAGTTAGCACTTCTTCAATTTTTGACATTAAACATTCAATATTTTACTGGAGTTAAACTTACCTATGCTTATACTGGTGCAAAGTCGTATCAAACGACTTGGATCACCTAGTTCTCGGAATGTAAGTTCGAATGGTTTTGTCATCAATATATCGCGCAGTTTGAAGCTAAGTAAATACACCATTGCAAATGTCATTACCAGTGACCTACAATTACTATCTTTTAACTGCAGAAATTAAAAAGTTTTTGGAGTGTCCAGATATATTGCTACATATGAATGAACAGGTTATTCTCAATAAATCCGAAGCATCACAATTTGGAGAGATAGTATACACTGCAATAGAAGTTTAAATTTACTTGGACGAAGTTTTTTTTTTTTTTTTTTTTTTTATAATTTTTGAGGGTTATAATTCTATCTTTTGCAGCATTTTCACGGAACAAAATGCTGCTTTTATTTGCCGTACAATGCTAAATACGCAAAAAATTGTTCAAAGCCAAAAGATATACATACGGAGTGGAAATATTCAAAAGTCGTAGATAACTCGAAGAAACTTTAGAGACAAAAAAAAAAAATCGTGGTTCTTCCATTGTGCCAATCGTCGATCCATCATGGCTAACACCATACTGTTCCAGCATGACAACATGCGATGCCGAACCTTCCGTGCAGTCTGGTTTTAACACTAATCTAGAATTAACTGAACTTCTAGTAATGAAAAGAAGAACCAAAGTGCGTCGGCATGCTCAGAACATATAAACAGAATAAGTTTTACCTTCAATCCGCCTAGGCTATTAGTAATATTTAATAATGCTTGTTGAAGAATGATATGTTTCAGATATTAGATTATTAGTATGTCAATAAAGTCATACAAATATTTCTCCATTCTCTTCTTCAACGCATAAAGTAATGAAAATGAGTCACTTTAAATATGAAGCAAATAGGTGTCAAATTAATAAGTCATTTAGCCTAGACAAAGTGGAACGCATGTTTATTCCATTTATTAGTATGAGTAATGTCAAGCAAAAAAAGAAAACACTAACCTTGTCATGTATTTAAATGAATAATTGAAATAAGTGAAACGGTGACTGAATTGTTCGTCAGCGATAGTTGGATTTTCATACATTAGATCACCATTAGGTACAGTAATCAGTGGTCGAACTATTTCAGAAATGTCCATTTCGAAAGTGTCTGAACAGTTTGCCGATTTGAGCACCTAAATATGAACGAACATTTCGTATACTTTAATAGTTCATTTTGAAATCACAACTGAACTGTACTGTCGTCGAAGTCTTTCCATTTTGAAAATGGAATTAATAAGAGTCAAAAAAATGAACAAGAAAATGTATTTAGCTAATGGATTCAGTGATGCAAACATTTGAAAGATGCTCCAGCTCTTGTTGTTCCATTTCCATTTCCCACTCACGCGCAGTTTCCAGTGGTGTTGTATCCGTCTTTTTCAGTAAATTATCTGAATTTGTTAAAGAAAGGAAAACTACTTTTCAAATAAATCCTAGTGTATTTCTTTGCTTCTTAAACAAAATAAATCACATTCCTGCTTATTTGAATAGATGGGTAGCCTTCAAATACATTGCAGTGCTTCCTTTATCCTATTACTTTGTAGTACCGACTGTAAAAATTGATAATCAGCAGTGTAACATATGATCATCTTGGAACAATGACAACAGTTTTTCAGAACAAATCCAAAGGGTTACAGTTATTAAGAATTAGAAGTTTGGTATCACGCAAGTAATACTGAATGATTGAAAGTGTCTTGAAAATACCCGTCTGTTCCTGAATACGCATTCTTCGCAGATAAATCCGTGATTTCAATTTCAATCCATTTATAGACTCGTTTGCCAGTTGTATCAATTGGCCTTTCCAATCTGGATGAGCATAATGAATCATACCTCGACAGGATAATGTAGCCTGGAATTACAATTTCTGTTCAGATTCTTTTCGTTTTCCTAAAAAATTTTTCTTTAATTGCCTATTAGTCTATTTAAAAATTTAAGAAAAAGTTTAATTAAAAAAGATATATATCTAAAACTTAATCTCTAAAAGTTGTGGTAAAAAATGAAATTTGCAAATGAAATAGGAAAAAAATTTTTAAAGTTTATCCCATGTCCAATGCGTCGTTGGAAATAACTTCTGGGAAACTATAAACGAAAATCAAAATATAAGAGAGAAAAAATGGAGAAAGCACTTTAACAATAGTTTCTGCACCGAGTGATTTGATAAAATTTTGCGCATATATATCAAATGCGAAGTATTTGATTAAATAATTGTACTCTCGATCGCTAATCAGTGGTAAATCTTCCAAATGACACTCATATAATATCTACAATAAAAATTATCTCAAATGCAAGATTCGCTTGCAGTGTGTTGTGATAAGCAAGGACAACCTACACATAAGAAAAAATTCCTACATATGCGAGGTAATATACAAGAATCATGTATATGGTTTTGAATCAAAATATCGACCGAATGAAACGGAATGGAAAACGAATGAAATTACTCAAGTTAAATTTCGTTTGATTTCTAATTTTGCTAATTAAGGCGACTTGGTTAACATATAAGCAATAAACTTTGACCAAAAACAAATATTCACCAAAAAAATTATTTAACTAATACTAAACGCAACATCAAAATTCATAAATATGAGGAAATGAAATGCTTACAGGATGCTGTTATGAAAATTTACAAGAATATTATGAAAATTAAGATATAAAAAAAATCTGGAAACAAAGTTTTGGTCTAACCGGTTGTTTGTCGATCCGCAGTGTGAACACCATTTGGACCGGAAGGAAAATTCCAACAAACATCTGAAAATATACTTGTGAGTTTTCTCAATGGAACTATTTTATTCGTCCCGACTACTACAATTAAAAAGATAAGTTATGAATAGCAGTGAAAAAATAATCAACTCAGTCAAAATTAAAATTTCTTAGTCATAATACTAAAAGGTGAATAGCGAGAGAAGCATGGGTGAATAAAACTTTTGTAAGAGGTCATTTGTATCAATGGGATCAGACTTATTAATTCTCTATATATGCTCCCATGTAACTTTGTTGCAATGAAGTGATAAAAAAAAATTTTGACTGATCGATTATAAGGTTGCTTAATTCGATTTTTTCCAAACTGAACAAACCTATTATTATTAATACAAGAAAACAATACTCACATTTTCAGATATGAATAGAATTAACATGACAAGAATGACAAATACCACAAAGAGTATTCCTCCACCCAAAAATATTTTAACTGGAACTGAAGTCAATTCCGCACGTTTTCTTGGGTAGAACTGGAAATAACTCTCTCTAAAACTTTTTTTTTTTTTTAAAAATCATGTTTTTTTGATAATTTTTTAATAAAATTTTGGTAAAATAACTTTTTTTTGCAATAATTTGAACAGTCTAAAGAAGGGCTCCTGCATAACGGCGACATAGCTAGACAATGGACACGTCTTGGAATTTAACTCCAAAAAAGATCTGTTTCCTCAGAGACAATGTAATGAACTACCGAAACTTCCTTGTGAAAATTGATGTTAATGAATAAGAAAAGAAATTATTTCACGCAAAATTGGTTTGAAATAGCAACCCAGCAATACAAATATATAATTTAGCAGCAATTAAAGAAATACCGAGTTTTACATCACTTAATATTGAGACAATCCAATAAAATATGATGAAGAAAAGATGGACTGACCGCTTCCAGCTTTCGCATGCCCTTGATGAAATATAAATAATAATTAATTGTTTTCAAGATATAAAAATCCAATAGAGTTAATGTTGTTGATGTAAAGGTCCAATCAAGAATTGTTGCTATTTCGAAGACTGGGACGGTGTAAAAATATCTGAAAAAGGTGTGACCAAAAATTTCTCACTAATGCAAAAAACACTTTGCACAATATTTTTAAGACATGTTACTCCTAATCACAATACATCTTCCTCCACAATAAAACGTACATAACAGAGCTAGTGGAAACGCGATTTAAGACACAAAGATAAAATGATATTATCAAATCTGTACGGTATAAAACGGATAACGAAGAGGTTTAAGGGTCAATATTTTTCAAGATGACAGATTCCGTAATATCTGGCACAACTAGAAGATACTAGATATTGATAATCACTGCTACCTACTTTTGTGTCTAATAAATATCTGTGCAACAAACCCGACGTATAAAGCCCAGCTTACTGGATTGGATTTCATCATCACATCACCAACGATAAATTTTGGATAGCCATCTCGTACTTGAAATGCACTTGAAAGCATGTGTATACCCCGGGCTATATACCAAATAAATAAACCGACAGTCATCCGACGATTATCATCGCTATAACTACATGAATGATATGCATGAAGGAATCACATCAAAATAAAAAACATATACAACTAGTTACGACTAGAAATATGCAAACTGTGACAAAAAAGTTAGAGACAAGGGAATAATGGATAGTAGTGGATATGAAATACCCATAATACCTTGGACAAGACCTAAACAAAACTTCAAGACGACGAAATGATCTATGAATTCATACAGTTTCACTAACAAATTCAAAAATTTACATTTGTGGTGAAATTAATAGTATTATGAGGATGTAAATGTGAATTCCGATTACTTCAACCACTAAATATACAAATTTCACACGTATCGCTCGTTTGAGGTAAATTATCCGATCCAGTATAATCTAAAAAATAAAAAGTTTCTTAAAAAAATAACTGCTAACGTATTCCACACCTAAAATATTCGACGAAGATTTATAGAACTGTGAAGCTCGCGCGGTCAAAAAAATTTACTTGTTATTACACTTTAACTTGTTAAAAAACGCGGTTAATTAAACTTCCGGTAAACTGCCTAGAACGGAATGTTAGTGAAACATTTAAAATCCAAACTCATATCAGAAGACATAAAAAAACTCAATAGCACGTAAGTCGGTACACAATCATCGCATACGGAATAACATACGGAAAGGCTAGAAAATAAAATTACTGGTGGGGAAATTTAAACTTACCATGCCAAGACTTGTCATAAAATAGTAAACAAATGTATCCGGCAACAAGCTACTTTTGCTCTCCAGTAATGTAAAAGCATCTCGGCGTGCCAAATCGAAATTGGAAAAATTAATAATCATGGTGATAAGGGCAAGTAAATCAGATAAAATCATCCACGGATAGTAGTTTGAAGGAGAACGCTGCCGTAATCGTAAGATATCCAATAATGCTGACCATAAACAACATTTTTTATGATCTGAATTACAGCTACCATAATGCAAATGCATCACACATATTAATATATCAAACAAAACAGAAACAAGGCTAATCAGTTTTCTAATCTTAAGCTTTTTCTTATTTACTAATTAATTCAAACATTTACTTAAGGATAAAGGATCTCTACTATGTATTGCGACTTGATAAGGAGCGATCTATTCTAAACGCTATTTCGTAAAACAGATATAAGACCACGGCATAATTTAGAGTGATTGTTTCTGTACCCGCCGAAATTTTAAATATTTTGAAGCTGTAAATGAAAATAGATGATACTACAACCAGCTGAAACAACAGTATACAGCACTATGAGTAAGGCTATTATCTTCCTTCTTATTTATAAGGAAATAAAAAAAAAAAAAAAAAAAAGAATAATAAGACCTTCATTTCTCAGTAATTGTCTACTCGATGCGTACCAAAAACCATTTCGCTGAAACCACAGGGATGAACGAAATTCATCAGAAAAGATAAAAATGCGTTAGGGGATAATATATAAAATATTATAGTTATTGGAAAAGAAGAAAAGATATCTGAATTCCCATTTCATGGATTCCATTACCAAAAGTCCATACTTATTAGAAATAAGGACTGTTAAAAGAGTAAACCAAGCATCTTATGTAAAGAATAGAAGAATAGTTTACTCTCATATTATGACGATGGGTGAAGAGTACGAGAACAAGAAGGCAAAATATGACCACAGATATCGGTTCATCAGCGATACCTACGAATCGTCCTATCATCGCCATACTCCATCTACCACATTTCATCCATTCTTTGCACATCCATGGTAGGGAGGTATATTTGAAGCAAACCGATACTAGTATCATTATCTGCAACTGTTACTATCTTTTGTTTAAAATTTAGATGAAACCTTCGTCTTATATTTAATTACTTATGCAGTTTGAAAGAACATCATGTAAAATTAAAGACGCTTGAATTAAAATGAGACAAAAATTCAAAATTGCAATTTATCATCATCACCTGTACATAAAAAATAGCAATAGTCCAAAGCAGACGACGCTTCCGTTCGGTGATAGCTCCCCAGAAGAAGACTAACATTGTCAGAGGAAATGTAAGTAAGCAGGCAGATTGACCATGGCCAACAATTATTACCAGATAACACAGCAAGGCCGTATTACAAATCCAAAATGTTCCAATTGCATCCATTAAGCGCCACAGTAATGGTAACTTCAACCAGCGATGATGCACTTCATTCATGTACCTGTAAGCGAGCTACCATGAAAAATTGGCATTGTATGTGTAGCGACAGTAGCTCTTATCTCAAAAAATGAAGCAAAGATACTGTGAATTAGTCTTCGCATCAAATGCTAATTATATTTCCCAAATGTTCTACGTGCTAATTTATCGCGACATTAGTTTCACAAATTAATATGACTATTAAAACAGAATAAGAACTCTCATAAAAAATAATTACTTAACAATGTCTCTGGAACTAGTAACCAAACAAATCTCATTTCCAAGATTGCATTTTTCAAGTTTACCCAAGGAATTTTGTGAAGCCAAAGTTAACTCCTGAAATGGCAATATAAAAATCTCGAAATAATTCCAAAACTGACAATAAATCAATCAAAAGTATTCCCTCATAAAAATTTGTCTTGGTATCATTCTTTGATTCCCTCTTACAATGTAATGTTTGCAAGGAATGCTTCAAATTAAAGATACCTTTGGTAGCTTCTCTAACAGCAACCTTTTTTCTTCATTGATAACAAAGCGAATGTAGCGATAACTAAGTGTTTTACGGGCCATCCAAAGCGCACATGTAGAGAGCAAAGCGGAAATTGTAATGTATTGAGTCTCAAAAACAAGAAATATATCTTTAACTTGTAGGGATGAACTAAGCACGTTAAGACTGTACATCAAGTGTCACGTTATTCTTGTTCAAAAGTAAATTTCAGCAACAAATCCTTCAAATCGAGAAATCTAACTTCTTGATAAAAGCACTAACCTGTGTTTTCTTAATCCCTTTCATCCTATCATCTTGACCAGTTTTTATTTCTGACGTAGACCTAAAGCTAAAACAATGAGCTAATTAGCGGTAAACAATTATCTTTACAGAAAAAGATCTTCGCCATTAAATCAGATAGATAAGCATGATTTCTTGTTTTCTCCAAGTTAAAGGATAAGAGGAGGAACTGAGTTACAAAATAAAAATTCTACTTCTACAATGCATTGTTCGTAGAAGAGTTCTTTTCTGATTCATAAGAATTAACGGTATGTTAATATAATCAAAGTCTGACTGTCTAGGAAGATATTTTAAAATACTATCATCACTACTGACGAGAAAAAACAGTAACTATCGGACTACTGATTACAACAGATCCGATCGGATGTTTTATTTTTAGTTTCCGTTTATGTTATAAAGAATTCATGGACTGCTTCTTATTCATTTTTTAAGAAATACATGAATGGAGTTAAAGAATGTAATTAAGCATTACGAATAACTACTAAACGTTGTTTCCTCTACATTTTCTGTTGCTGAATCCACCGTATGCAATAAATTCTCGTTCCATCCACGTATTGCTGAAAAATCCGAAAATATACCAATTTTAAGATCATTATATCCCTCCGAATTTGTCCTTTAAACATTCAATATGAAAAAATTAATATATTGTGCCCATTCCATCAGTTGATTACAACAAATAATTAATTGGTCAATGAGCATAATATAAAAATGAAAACAATGGCTTAAAAAAGTCTCAGGATATCTCTTTAAAACTTACTTCAAATTATGAAAATAAGGGTATCCGATACCAATTTCAGTTCATTTTAATTGAAGAATTTAAAACAGCATATTTTCTAGATGAACCAACAAACATGATTATGCCGAAGAACAAATACCATTCGGCCTGTACAAATGTGCTAACAATGACAGTAGCTAGACAGTGTTTGTGGTAAAACTCACACTCAATAAACCACTCTCCAAAAGGTAGATTGAGATTCGTCATTGCTCCCACAGTACGTTTGATTTTCGCCAAGCGACGATAATCTCGTTGTTGATGGTAGGTCATTGCTTTGTAAATTAACTGAGTTTGAAGGACAACACCTCTGTAATGCTGCTGCATCACTACATAAAAGGGAGTAGTAGTTGAAATTTGATATTTCAAGTCTTTTAATCTAGAACTACTGCTTATCTTACAATCCCTTTTATAATAATACTTGATCAGAGGAGAAACAGAATCTTACCATGGATTCAGAAATATTGAAAATCTTAAAACTTACCTGTAACATACAATTCGATCGGCTCGTGTATCAATGACGGTTCGTTGAAAGTGCCTACAATCACTATATTCTACTTCTTTTGATAATAAAAGTGAGATAACCCTCTACTGCAGCATAGAAGAATTATTGTGCTATAAATAAATTGCATACCAACTACTGATCAGACGAAGTTGGAATAGAAGCGCTGCGAAGGTCAGCACATCGAAGAGAAAACTATTTATGCTTAATTCTCCATATGGTGCTTAAAAATCATATAAATTTTCCATTAAAATATTTTAATCTTAAGAAATTGTAAAGAAGTTGCTGAAAAAGGAGAGTAGACAGTATTATCCATGTCATTGTTAAAATAGACAATTTCTGGTGATCAATTTTTTACAAATAATAATTTTGGAAAACAACCTTTAAACTGACTTATTATGAAGTTCACACACACACACACACACACACACACACACACACACACACACACACACACACACACACACACACACACACACACACACACACACACACACACACACACACACACACACACACAAACACACACACACACATTTACTTCTATCTCCAAGCTACTATTTTATTCGTTCTCTCAGATAATGTAGGAACAACAGGAAAAATATACTGGTATTGTCTTCGGAAGAATTTGAAAAATAAGATAACATCACATGAAATGACGCATAGCTGATTGAATGGTTCGTTTTGTCATATATTAAAAAATGTCCTATTAATCCATCACCGACCTGAAAAACTTTTGTTCACTGCTTTTACTAAAATTGGGAAAATTGAAAGACCATTTAACAGTACTGAATCATGCAGCCAGTCTAGAACAGAATTCATTAAAGATACTTTCCTCTACGTAAGAACATAAGTTTTTCATAGTTTGTTAAGAGATTCTTCCCTCCTTTAGATAGTGACGCGAAATAATTTGACAACATATATTTTGCTTTTTTCCAAGAGCTATCTTCTACATATTTAATGTTACTGGAGCTAAATCACCGGGAGAGGCAATCGAATGACTGGTAGGTTTGTAATCAGAAAGCATTCAAAAATTAATTCCGATAAAGTTCAATGACATATCATTAATCCAGTGGCATAAACACCCGCTGATAATAAGAAATCATTAAATTTTCAACGTTTAATATAAGAATGAGAATACTTTTTTTCAGAGAGTGGTAATTAGATTTTAGGCAATTAAAAAACAATCATACCAGCGCTGCAATACGTAGGAAAACTGCAGCAAGAAGATAAATTGTTATCAGACGCCATTTTCGGATAAAAACAGATGGATGTGAGAGGTAAAGATCAGCACCACGCCAAAGATTGATAAATGCAAGGATAATAAGAACCGCTGATAAAAAGACTGGCGATGAAAGGCGTATTCCATCTGATAGCACGAGCAACAATACAACCCAGTGATAATACGAGCATACACATTGCTTCAATTCATCCAATACTCTAAAATAAATTGAAATTACTCAACACTGAAGTCTTGTAAAGTTGCAAATATAATGTAATGTTACTAACTTGACGTGAGCAGAGAAGAAATAAGGCGCAGGATTACATTCAAGAGACTCATTTCGATGAAGCGCTAGCAGAATGCCATCATTTGATCCGCCACTAGCGCCATCTCCTTCCACACGCTAGATTTAAAATTTGAACAATAAAAGTTAAAGTTGAAGTATCGAATATGGAACAAATAGGCCTAATAGAATTTGATGGAAAATATTTGATATTCCTGCAGCCTACCTCGATTTTGAAATTATAATATTGCATGATGGAGACACCAACGTTGAGAAAGTAACAGTAAATCGCATATGATGATTTCCGTTGCGAACTAATTGGATACTGTCCATTATTAATGAAAGCAAAATAGGGAGCAAAATATGGATGTATAGGTATTTCTGAAATTGATTCGAAAGTATATAATTACATAGAGGAAAATAATAAGATTTACGAGGTTTACAGATTTTGCAGCTCTCACACTATTAACATTCGCAGTTTTCCACTTGAAGCTAGTTCTTATATTTCTAAATAACATTTTAAAGCAAGATCTTAACTAATGAATTAGTGCACTGAAGCTGAAAAATATTATTAGTTGTATAAAAAATGCTGACAGGATCACTTAGCAGGTAGACAGTTTCAAAAAAGTCAACGAGCAGAAAGAATAAATATATACACTAGATATTCTTCGATCCACTCGAAACAAGTAGGCTAACTTGTCGTAAATGGTTAACTTCAAAAAGTTTAAGTAAGTTCAAGCAAGTACCAAAGTGCATTGCCGTTATATATCTAGAGTAATACTCGGGTCAGCAAAATACGAATCAAAAGAAGCCGATTTGGAGATAGAGCTCACTCTAGAAAAGAAGAAATGGTAGAAGGATTTAAAAGAAGTGGATCAGCAGGGTGAGGAAAAATCTGATTCGACATGCTCAGTGATTCGGCATCTCATCAGGAAGAACGACGGTTCAACAGCGGATCGATAGTGGCATAGAAGTATAACAATTTAGTGAACATGCGATGGACTATTGGTATAATTTAATATTAAGGTGTGTTCATTTCTTTCCTATTATTTTATAAGCTCAATATTGTACAATGTTGCACAAAAAAAAAAAAAAAAAAAGAAAAGAAAAAACAATAAAGCTATTGTCAACATTGCAAAGTTACGACAACAACAAGAACATATTGTAATACATCTTGAAAAATATAACAGAAAGCAACTTGTAAATAAAAAAAACAAAATAGAAAAATTTTTATTTTGAAAAATTTATTAAAAAAATGTAAAAAACCACGAAATGAAAAAGAGAACGGACGAGAAATTTTATCAGAAAAAAAAAAAATCAAAATAAAAACATCAAACTAAGAAACTGGGAAGCAACTTCTAAATAATAAAAAAATAAGAACGTATAAAATATTTATTAACGAACTCAGTAAAAACAGCATCAAAACAAATAATTAAAAAAAATAAATAAATAAAAAATAGTTGAAAGCTCAAAGTGATTAAAAACAAAAGGAAGACTTAATAAACCAAAAATTCATCAAAAATAAAACACTAGCGGTCATAAAGTGATCTTAAACACATATCTTACACTATGATTTAACTATCTTTTTAACCTATCTGAATAGTTTGTAGAGAAATTTAACTATAGTTATAATCTATCCTTACCGTAATAACATTTTCCAGGTACAGGACCGATATATGCGAGCAAAGAGTAAAAGAGAACAAATAAATGATAGCAGACAAAAATCAAGAATATACGTCGAACACGCCATCGATCCATTAACAAGCAGATTACCAAGCTTATTACCGACAGCAAAGAGATGATATTTGAAGCTACTACTGCTGAGAGAAGGACGAAAATCATATACATCTGAAATTCAAATATTCCAAAGTGAGTTTCGAATTGACATACGCAGTTAGTTTAATAGAATTATTTTATCAACTTAGTAATAAATTCCATTCTTATTAGTTATTCACATTACCTTCTAATTAGCTAAATATGTTTAATTTGCTGGTGTACGCTACTCTCTACCATGGAATTCTCTTACTCATTGTTCTCTTCCATAAGATCTCATTAGTTAGTTGCAATAATTAACCTCTGCTTAACTCGATAGGTACTCATCATGATCTATAAACTGAAGAAATTCCAGAACTCAAATATTCTCTATGAGAACATTTTACTAATATGAGTTAAAAGGCTCTGAGTTCCCTGCTGCGTGACTCAGTGTTTTTCTTATCTAAATCTTCGCCGTACAGAGAAGAGATGACTTAGTAGAAATTCAGAAGGCTATTTCGATTATTTCTCACTTGCTTTCAAAAATTATTTACCTCATAACCAAATTTATACACGATAAAATTTGCATAAAATTTGATGAAATAAATAGTTCCTTTGTCGGCATTAGTGCAGTCTACGTCTGGAAATGGCAAAATTGGTAGTGCATTTTTGTAACGTACTGCATACATTTTTTTGATATGTCGAAGAGAAGACCGTGCAGTAAGAGTACATATACAAACCACCGGAGCCTAAAAAGGAATATTTTTTTTACGAATAATAAAAACAGTTCTTAAATTAAACCATAATTTTTTACAATTATTCTACCAGCATTACCAGGAGGAATATTTATTCACCACGAAAAATATTGCAGAAAGTATAAATGAAGCTGGATTAATTATGAAATCAGAATTTCATATGAATATATGATGCGTAAATAAATTTAATGAAACTATTAATGCCAACAAAAACTGAAGTGGTGCTTAAAAAGACAAACCAAAGCCGGTTTGGTATTATCCGAAATCAATCCGATCCAATACAACCATTTTATTAAATGAGGAGTGTCGCAGAAATCTGGATAATCAATGAATCCTTCATATGCATCAAATATTAGCTTGAAGATTGTAACAGCTAATACATAATAAGTGATAAAGAAACAAGCAATCCTTTTGATATTTGCTGGTAGTGGAATGAATAATAATACTGCAACAAAGAGCACAGGTAAAGCAGCGGGTGATACCTGCAATCAAATTTCTGTTCATTTCAATAAAATGAGAATTTGAATTAGAATGTATCATTTGGAAAGGATACTAAAGTACTAATATGAAACTTCTAAGTTAATGGAACGATATAAGTCAAATGTTATGTAAGTTAGATCTAAAATAAATGTATTACGTCAGATCAATAATAAGCTAAGTGAGGAAAGAAAGGCTTGAACGCAAAGTTCTACATTATAATAATTTATACTAATGAAACATTTTTCAACGTCATTAGCAAACTTACTCTATGAATGGCGCAAAATGCAAGTAGAAGTGCACAAGAAATATCGCTCAACCTTATACAAGTAATCAACAATATTCGTCCAAAATCTCGCATCAACGTAGAACAAGATGACGGCAGTTTTACTAAAAATGTCGCTAGATTAAACAAATCATTAAAGTATGTTAACGAAGATTTAGATGAGACAAGTTTTGATAGGAATACCTTTGTAATTCAACGAAATGAGATCTATGAGAACGCACAGAGTGGCTAGCACAAATGAAATGGATACAGTCATAAAGTGTCCCACAATATTTGACAACACTAAAAAGAAGAAATGACACAATAACATTTTCAGTGACTACAAAACATGGTTGCAAAATTTTAGTTTTAAAAGGAAAACCTTATGCCTTCTATTATCAAGTCAGGAATGAGTCAATAAATTAACTCAATAATTTTTTAAAGGAGCAGAATCAGTTTTTTAACTGCTTTGAACTCTGATCAAGATACAAGTGATAGTAGTAAAATTTTCAAGTTTATCATGATTAATAATTCATTCAGCTATTCTTATTAACATTTAGCTTTTTTTTTGTAAGGTATCGGATAATTCTGAAAAAAACTGTACCTCGATACTCTGTAGCCAATGGACCAAGCAGGATATCGCCACTATTAGCTTCATATTTTATAATGTATCGATCGATTAAGAGAACCAAATGAGTTAATGTTAATATGATCAATATGTACCAGAAAAAAGTACTACGATGTAGAAAAAAATTCATCGATGTCTGAAAACTTTAGTACATATCACTGATAAGGTATCGGAGTAATCAAAAAATAACAGAAGGCGAATTTATTTGTACTATGCTGAATAATTTTTTTTTGACATTTCGAAACTTCCGCCCTTAGCACATTACATTTGTGTTTCCACGATAACATCAGACTTATAAAAAAATCCAAATAATCATTAATTTAACCTTACATGCAATATTTATTTATTTAAAAGTGATCTAAATGGAATAATTACGGTAAAAAAATAGTAGAAATATAGTAGAAAAAAATAAAAAAGATAGTAAAAAGGCAGAGATTACTTGGAAAGTGATGCAATATGTGCTGAAAAGGATAAAATAAATGACAGCAATGATACTCTGATTGATGGTAATTGTTGTGATACCAAAGATAATAACTGTTATCAAGTAGATGACACATCTCAAAGTGAAATGAATCAAAGACTCCGCCATTTCATCACAACCATATATCAACCAACCAACAACAAACACTGTTATTTCCGGAACATTGTAATCATTATTTATTATTCGTTGCACTGAAAAAAAGATTACTTTGAGAATTAAATAGTTAAAAAATGGATGCCTTTGCTTATTGAGAGGTAAGAATTAAACTTACAAAACTTACAAAGTGAACAAGTACATCCCAGTAAGTGTTTAGACCATTCTGTACACTATTTTTCGATAATTCTATTAGTAAATAATGGATGACATATACTGTCACTGATATCAGCTTACCTTGACTAATCATGTTGGACTCAGTCCAGTGACAGTTATCTAGATCTCTCTCTTAGTTGATTTATTTAATTTCCAATCATTTTATTAGAAATCATTTGGAAAAAAATATTGTAGTTCAAAAGCAGTACTCGAAAGGTGAAACATGAATTCACTTTCACTTTTTCACATAAATACTGTTGTTACTACTACTACTACATTTTATTTTTATTGTTGTTACTACGACTGCTCAAGTAACATTTATTATTCCCACTGAGTTGAAAAAATTATTTCTACAAAAATGGGTCAAAAATATCAATTGCCAATAAGTCTCCTTTTCTCTCTCTCATTTTTTACATCATTTATATTGCTAAATCATTTTGGTGATGAGAGACCATACCAATAAATTAATTCAAAGAAAATCTTTTTATCTTTTGTGATCGTTCAGAATTCTTGCAAAATCAGATCAGTGGGCTACTGTACTACCAAAATTAGGCAAGAATGTTTTTGACATGTAATATCTTCAATAAAATAGAGATGAAATCGATAACAAACGATATTCCCAGTTTACGTCCTACGAACTCCAGCGACCCGTCTAAAACTTCATTTTCAACTCTTGAATAACTCTTCATCTCTCATAGCTGTAGATTTTGGAGCATATTTCGAATTACAAAACCAGTGTAATAAAAAATTTAATATGGGATTCATACATTACGAATAATTTAATGTATGGAATCTATCGGAGCAACTGTGGAATGATCATTCAGTAACTGTGTTATCTAGAAAGTGTCATCCTGACTGCTAAGAGACCTTCCATCTTTCAGTCATCCTCCTAACTGTGGAAGCGTTGCTATCTGATTGTTGATGTTTCCACAGAGATGTATTTTTTAAAAAGTTTTTTGTGAGCAAATGTATTGTTTTAATATAAGTAAAATGACGCATCATAACAAATGTATTGAAGCAACATATAAACATAACCAAGAATTAAAAAAGAAACAACAATTAAAATTTAAGGGACGCTAATGGAAGACTATATTTCCAGTTGTCCTAGCATTTTTACAAACAGTAAGTCAACTATACATTATGATAGTCAAGTATGATAGCCAGTATAATATACATTTAAACTTTTCGTTATAACAAGGATATATATTTACTTGTTTATAGCTTGGTGGGATAAGTTAAAACCCAGCAATTCCCTCAATTCTGCCATCGTTTCTTGAGCCTTTTTTTCAGCTCTCTGAGTACCATGCGTTAGAATATCTCGAATTAACTGCGGTTCTTGGAGTAATCCTTCATATTTTTCTCGGAATGGAGCAATATGGGCATCAATTTTTTCCGCCAAACATAATTTGAATCCTTTTGTATCCAGACTGGCACATTCATCGATTACGTTTTCCACGCTCAGACCAGTAGCTAAGGCGTAAAGAGTTACCTGCAATGCATAAGTTCAAAAAAATAAACTGCTATAGAAAATTTTGTCACATCTAGAAAGATAGTAGCATAAGCAAAACAATGATGCAACGCAGTAAGTGTCTGATAACAGCTAGTATCTTCAAGCTATATTTCCTCAAAATGGAATGCCAGCTGAAGCATTTTTTGTTTTTAACTCTTCACATGACAAGACTTTTAGAACGAATCTTGTATATTTTAGAAATGCAAGTAAAAGTCACCAAATTACTGACTGCAGGACGCTTTTCCGGCTCATAAGTAATATTGGATTGCGAATCACTCAAGGCTTTTACACATTTCTCGACAATTATTTGTTTTATGTCACTTATCAGAATACGCGACCGATCGTTACCCATCGACTTACTCATCTTCTTCGTTGAGTTTTGTAAGCTTTTTAAACGTGCACATCTAGCACTTATCTGAAGTTTGAACTACTGCAGAACTTCAGAAAGAGTTTGCAAAGTACTGCTTGCATTTGAAAGCCAAATCTCTTTAAGAACGTTTTTTTTCTTTCATACACCACGCTATTCGATTCAATTCCTAAACTTCTAAACCGTAATTGAGAGTTATCGTAAGATCTCATGACATGATGAATGCCTTCTTAATTAACAATATTAAAATACACAGTAGCAATAGCTATAAGCCTAAATCATTTATCCTAAAGATAAAAGGATTAAATTTAACTTGAACTGGGACTGGAAAGAAATCACAATGAAGAATGGCATTGAATTTGAAAGCTAAATCTCTCATCAGAAGTAGGTGTTGCGTCTGGTCATCACCAACTGGTACATGAGTTCCTTTATACAATAATACATCAGCTGCTTGCAGAATAGGATATAACTGCAGATTCACAGGAATGTTACCATTTTTGAAACTGCAAAAAAACAGAATTTAAGCAAAGAAACGAATCAGAAATTTCTCTCTTTAGATGGTAATGTTTTGCTGGAATAGTGCAAAATTAAATCCAATTGATAGTTATTATAGCTGAAAAATTATATGTCACTAAAATCCACTGTTAAAAAGACTGCATTTATTATTACTGTCTTGTTAAGTTTACAAGTTTTTCCAAAAATTACGTCCATATCTACAACTGCATATAATAGCGTCTAACGAAGAATAGTGTAAATTTGAGATGCTAAGGCTTTTTTTTCAACTACCATTATAGTACAGTTTTTTGCACATGATGTGAGAAATAGAACAAATTAAACCATTCATGATAAGCAGAGATAAAACCTAAATATAGGATTGTTTTTAAAATGAAGAAAACGAACACAGCAGCTTTATCCTTATACTGTGGCATCCGAGTAAGCCTAGAAATCGTCTGCAAGCTTCCCAGTATATACATCAAGTTAGCATGATCAGCCACTCTGCTCTGCTGGAATAACGTCGTTTTCTCTGGATCCAATCCACATGCCAATAGACTCGCAGCCATTTTAAAAATGTTATTTTTCATCTATAAATAAAGTTCCGTACTACAATGAACAGTAACAGACCATTATCTAAGATGAATATGCAGCAAAATCGATTCAGAAGTTTTAATAATCCAGCAGGAAATATGAAATATACAAACGATAACAATGCTGATTAAACAACATTGATGTGGTAACTCTGATCACTGTCACAGCTACTTTCAAATAGAGAAAAGCAGTGAATTTCAACAAACAGCGTCAGTACATTTGGCTCACTCTAACTTATTAAGAAAGAAATTTAAATGAATAAAAGGGAGAATAAAGCAAGTCAAACTGCGAAATTTACTGAAAGACTCCTATGACTTGCTAAGTTTACAAAAGAGACAAGTTTTTTCAAAAATTACGTCCATGTCTACAACTACATACAACGGCGTCTAACCAAAAATACTGTAAACTTGAGATGCTAAGTGACTCACTGCGCTGCTCATGAAAATGTCAAATTTTACGCTATATAAAAACTTAATAAAAGCAATCCGTATGTAATTCTTTCAGTCATAAATATGGAAAAGATTGGTTAGCTCACTTCCAAAGGATTAATGAAACCCATTGAAATCGAGTGGTAATCAGCAATAGAAAGATACATCTGCTTCGAGCAGCCATCCTGAAAAAATGTGTTACTTGCATCACTTCATAAACTTATTAAATACTAATAAGATCAGTACTTTTGTGAGCTTCTAAACCCTACAATCAATTCTCTGTAGAACTTATAGAACCAGCCTGACGAGTCCGAAACAAAATTATATGCTGGAGTGAAATGAGTATGTACTAAAAAATACTAGCAAAACAAATAAAGGAACAAACATTTTGTAAACTGATCCAGTGCTGGATGAAGCCAAAATAATTACCCAGATGTGGAACGCCCGTTGGTTGAATACCAGAGACGTATACTACTGGGAAATATTTATTTTCTGACTCTGACTTAACTGATGATGCAAATCGGAAAATTCCTTTTACGAAGAACCATTCCGGACTCTTGTATGATAGCTCTCTCCCAATTACAGAAGAAGCATTCATAATTACCGTCTTCGTGAAAAAAGGCTAAAAGAGAAAAAAAGATGTGAAGAACAACACCAATAAAAGAAAACTTCATAGTGAATATGGATGAAAGCAAGAAACAATGAAAGAAAAAGTTCGAAAATTAGAAAATATCATACCAGTTATAAATTCAATATCGGTACCACTCGACTTCGATGAAATTCTTCTCGACACTGTGGACAAAACACTAAAGCACTGTCAGTTACAGCAAACTGTATGTGCTTTGAAATGCAACTCCAACAGAATAGATGTCCACAAGGAATGCAAGATGGTTGTCTATTATATTGCCAACAAAGTGAACAACGGAATGAACTGCCTACAGGCTACAAAAAGACTAGCCGATAATAATGAAGTTAAAATAAACTTCATAGTGGGAAAATGTATGCAACTGCAAGCCAAAGGTAGCCTTTCATAGTCCATCACTTTCAATACTAACGAATTTAAAAGAAATCAAGGAAGTCGAACTAACACAATTTTAAGTAGAAGTCTCTAACTTAATAACATCCTTACTTCAGCTTGAAAAAGAACATCATCATGAGAAACAAAGTGATTTACCAAGTTGTACTCCTCTTCCGATATTTCGGATTCAGAAAACTGTCTGAATTCAACAGCTGCTTTCTCACTACGCTGTTTTCTGAATTGGTCTCTAATCCAAATTACTGCACTTGAAACAATTTGTGCAATGTTTATTGCTCCAAAAAAACGAAAATAAAATAAAGCCTGCAAAATCTTCCTCAAAAGTTCGTATAATATGCAAAGTATTTGATCTTTTAATTCAACTAATTTAGC